TTACGAAGAAAGACAGTTACCCTCTTCCTAGAATTGACGACATTCTAGACACCCTTTCTGGAAGCACGTGGTTCTCAACACTTGATTTAAAGAGTGGGTATTGGCAGGTAGAAATACACCCTCATGACCGAGAAAAGACGGCATTTACTACGGGACAAGGGCTTTGGCAATTCAAGGTGATGCCGTTTGGACTGTGTAATGCGCCGCCAACATTCGAACGCCTCATGGAGACTGTTTTGAAAGGACTTTCCTATGAAGCCTGTCTGATATACCTGGATGATATCATCATCGTCGGAAAGAGTTTTGAAGAGCATCTAGAAAATCTTAGAAAGTGCTTCAGAAACTGAAAGAAGCCAATCTGAAGCTGAGTCCCGCTAATAAATGCAAATTGTTCCGAAAGGAAGTGACTTACCTGGGACATGTCATCTCTGCAGAAGGTGTGCGCACGGATCCTGAAAAGGTATCAGCGGTTAAATCCTGGAAACATCCCGAAAATGTCCATCAGCTGAGAAGCTTCCTAGGGCTTTGCACCTACTATAGGAGATTCGTGAAGGACTTTTCTTCCATCGCAAGACCCCTTCACAAGCTGACAGAGCAACCAAAAGTTCTTGTGGACAAAAGAATGCGACGATGCATTTAACAACTTAAAGGAGGCTTTAACATCTGCTCCAATCCTGACGTATCCTCAGCACGGCCAACCATTTATTCTCGACACCGACGCTAGCAATGAAAGTGTCGGTGCTGTTTTGTCCCAAGAAATAGACGGCCAAGAACGTGTAGTGGCATACTGGAGCAAGTGCCTGTCTAAACCGGAGAGGAATTATTGTGTCACCAGGAAAGAGTTGCTCGCCATAGTCAAAGCTGTAGAACAGTTCCATCACTATCTATACGGCAGAAAATTCCTGCTCCGCACCGATCATGCATCATTGACCTGGCTTTTAAATTTCAAGAATCCTGAGGGTCAAATAGCCAGGTGGATACAGAGACTCCAAGAATATGACATCACTATCCGTCATCGTAAGGGATCATCACACGGAAACGCCGACGCCCTGTCTAGAAGACCTTGCCAAGAAAACTGTCGATATTGTTCCAGGGTGGAAGCGAAATACGAGCTGCTGACTCCGGTCGCAAGACAAATTACAACATCAACATCTGCTGATCGAGAACCGTGGAGTGATGATGAAGTCAGGAAAGACCAGCTGGAAGACCGCGACATTAAACCCATAATTGATCTAATGGAGTCGTCAAACAGAAAAACCTACCTGGCAGGACATTTCTATCTGTAGTCCTACAACCAAACAATATTGGGCACTCTGGGATTCACTTCACATTCGAAACGGCGTCTTATACCGGAAATTCGAATCGGATGATGGGGGACGTTCCGATGGCAGCTGATACTTCCAAGATCCCGCATTCCTGATGTCCTTAAAGAACTACATAACAGCCCTACTGGAGGTCACTTTGGAATAATGAAGACCTTACAGAGAGTTCGTGAGCGCTTTTACTGGAATAATGCAAAGGATGACGTGCAAAAGTGGTGCCGATCTTGCGATGCCTGTGCAGGTCGGAAAGGACCTAAGAGACGCAGCCGAGGCAAGCTGCAACGTTACAACGTAGGGGCGCCTTTTGAACGAATCGCCTTTGACATCCTGGGACCTCTGCCACGAACTGCTGATGGCAACAAATACATACTCGTTGTCGTTGATTACTTCACCAAGTGGCCTGAAGCTTATCCTATTCCTGATCAAGAGGCTGTCACAGTAGCTGAGGTAATGATACAGCACTGGATTTCCAGGTTCGTAGCGCCTCTTCAGTTACATTCCGATCAGGGAAGGAATTTTACCTCGGTAGTAATCAAAGAACTATGCAAACTACTCGGCATTGACAAGACCCAAACGACGCCATTACATCCCCAGTCGGACGGCATGGTAGAGAGGTTCAATCGAACCATCCTTAATAACCTCTCATTAGTGGTTTCCAGAAACCAGCAGGACTAGGACAAGAAATTACCACTCTTTTTACTGGCTTACCGCAGTGCTGTCCACGAGACTACCGGCTATTCTCCATCACAGATGCTCTTCGGTCGTGACCTTCGTCTGCCTTGTGATCTTATTGTTTGGTCACCGCCCTCCGGATGCTCCTTCATCGTCCTGAGGAATATATTCAAGATCTCCAGGCCCGGTTTGAAGTGATGCACAACTTTGCACGAGAGCGAGTCAACTTGGCGACGGAGAAGATGAAGACCCGATACGACACAAGAGCTACTGAACATCAATTCCACGAAGGAGGACAAGGTGTGGTTGTGGAATCCGAATCCGACTCGACGGAAAGGACTTGTCCGAAATTACAGTCACCTTGGGATGGCCCGTATACAGTCCTAAAAAGGCTGAATGACGTCGTGGTTCGGATTCGTAAGTCTTCGAACTCTAAACCTAAAGTCGTTCATTACGACAGGTTAGCTCATTACTATGGCCATAGTACGTAATGTAAATAATTGTAAATAGTATCAGACCATGGTCCTTTTTGTTTTTAAATGTGTATTTGATTTGATTTGTATTTAGTATTTGATTTGCTTTAAGTATTTTATTTGTATTTAGTATTTGTTTTGTATTTAGTATTTGATAGCATTTGATTTGTTTAAGTTAGTTATTGCATTTATTGTTTATGTTGTATGATATTGTAATGTAATGTTTATGCCTCAGTTGCATTTATGCCACAGTTGTAAGTTTAGCTTCCTGTCCAGGGATTGTACTGCCCGAGACGTGCAGTCCTTGGGAAGGGGGCAGTGTTACGAATTTGGTATTTAAAAAGCTAATGTTAGTTCAATTATAAATTCAAATGGTTTTATTTCTCGCGCAGTGCAGCGCGTGACGAATATTAAAAGAAAGCTAAGCCGGAAAATTGAAAATTACAAGAGCGCGTGCATTAAATAAATAAATATCTCTTTTTGATTTCGAGAAAGTACTGGAAAATTCTAGCGCGTGATTTTAAAATCTTATAAAAGGAGGAGGAAAACATCTCAGTTTGGAGTAGAGTTGCTTAGTTTGTTGTTGTTTAGAAAACTGCCGTTGTTGATTATAGCGAATTCGCGGATTAGCGTTCTTTAGCTGTTTTGAATTACGTTCTATTGTACATTTAAGTAGTTAAAAGATAACTACTGTGAGATATTGTGATACTGCATGATAATTTGAGAAAATTTAAGCATTTCTGTTGTGATAATAATAAATTTTTTTCATTTTTCATCGGACTTGTGCATTCATTTCATAACGAACCCGTACGCACGCAACAATATGTTTATCCTAAACAGCTTAAGTGTAGATAGTTTTAGGAACTGGTAATTTTTGAATTAGAACTTGCAGAAATTTTGAGAATTATGCAAAATATGAAATTTCATTTGAAAATTTCAACAGAATTCATTTTCTCTAATTCTTCTAAACATAAAGAAATTAAAGTGAGATATATTTTCACATGTTTTCATAAGTCTGCATACAGTAATATTGTGTGTTTATAAATTGCAATGTAACCAAAATTTTATTTCATTACAGTAATGGTTGCATGTAAATAAAAATAAAAATTTAGCTGAAATGGGACCGAAGCATAACTATAATTTCGATTTTAAACCTTTAAAAATTTTTTATTACTTTTAGTTTAATTAATTAATTAAGGCTGATACTGATTTTTTGTAGGCTTATGTTGCCATTAAATCAATAAGAATATTGAACTAATTCGACCCTTTAATTAATCATATATAATTTTCATGAACGTTTCTCTCTTTTTAGAACAAAAATGCAGTTTTCATCTTTCAGAACATTAAAAATATATTAAATTTTCAAGACCATGCATTTTTGTTTTGATATACTTAGTTCATCTTATAATGTATCATTCAGATCATTGAACTAGTTAGAACATAATTCTGAGGTAAAATACTTTAAACATTAACTGGTAACAATATTTAATTCAAAGTTCTAAATTTTACTTTCTTTTTGGTCAATTGCATGCCATTTTACAATTCTTCAAAATTTTTTACTGATCAAATTCAAGTAGGAAGGAAATATTTTTATTAATCAAAGTGCTTTTAAACACAATATAATTAATAATCAGCATGCATGTATTATGTAGGTAAATGTAGTAATGTATCGCTTATAGATGTAAACAAAAATGAAATATACTAATATATATTTTTGAAACATCAGTTAATTCTTCATAAACTGGTTCATTAGTGAATTTATAAAGTTGTTACTTGGTTTTTCTTTAATTCTTCTATATAAATCCTTGTAATAGGTTAAAGTAGGTAAGAAAATAAAATTTAATCAGAAAAATTATGCTGAAAATTACTGTTGAAAAACAGGCTTAATTTTAATTAAGAAACTACAATATTAACCTTTCATTGAGAATTTTTCCTTAGACTTTTCTTCACATTTCCTTTCTATTCAACTCTTCATGATAAATATTGGTTTTAAAGAAATGATATACAAGAGAAACAAACCTAAATTCAGATAAATTTAAAACAAGGATCGGGAGTGCCACGGACTTACTGAGAAGGTTCACATCTCTACATATGTAAATATTTTCCCCCCTAAAAGTATTTTAATAAAAACAATGCATATAACATTGGATTTACTACTTAATGAGAGTTCATACAATTGCCAATTGGAATATTTACCCCCCTCCCGGAAATGGAAAACCATCTTGACAATGCTTCTTTGGAATATTGAATTAATTAATAGATCTGCACAGTGTTGAAAATGTACCCTAAGAATTAAAGGATATAATTTGACTGTTATGTTTATGAAGCTGAATTGGTTTTGAAAGTGTTTTTGTGCATGGATATCATATTTTATTAATTTCTGTCTATCCTTAACCCTGTTTCATTGTACAATTTTACGTTTTTTCTGCCTATTCTGCTCAATTTATGTTTTTCCTGTGAAAGCAACTTTTGTCTTTTTTTTGATGAAATTATTTTATCACTGCATGTATTTGCATTATTATTCATCTATTAGTTCTCACATATGCTGATATGCCTGCTGAAGATGATGTTGAAGGATCCTCCTTAACATCTCATGACATGGATACACCTCCTCCATTATATACCCCAAGCCATCGTCATTCTCATAAAGGATTACCTCATGTTGAAATGGTTCGACCTGCTCAAGATGGTAGTAGTACTGTCATTACACCTAGTTCAGAATCAGCAAAAGATGAGAAAAAGAAAGGTGAGATATGATGTTTACTATGTAAATTAAATATGTATGTGAAATACATATTTAATTTATGATTTTTGAAACTAGTGTGAAGTTGCATTGTATAAAAATAGCATAGCAAATTATTAATCTTGATTGTATGTAATTTCATTATGCATTAATTCACATGGTAAAAATAATGAAGACAGTTATTGCAGAAATCCAGTAATATAATTGTGTAATATTTATTAAAAATTATAATATATAATATATATTATTTATAAATAAATATGTAATTTTATTTGAGCTTTTTTACCCGTTTGTGAGATTAAGCTGATACAGTAGAATTTCTGGCATGTATTCTTATATTGGATAATACATATTTACATAGAGCAAATCTCATGGAAAGAAGACATTGATCACGTGCAATGGCAACCATATTCGTGTGACCACAGTACCTTTGGAATGCCCTTAGATATGCTATTTTTGCTCATGTACTCTGTACTCTTTTCTTGAAAGAGCTACAGGCTGTTCTGTGAAATGGACAAGTATTGCCTTTTGGTACAGTTTGACATTTTAAGTTTGGAATATTACTGCAGAATTTGCATGAAAGTCAGAGATGATCATATCCCTTATTAAGATGATTTTATTTTCATGTATTACAAACAGTGTCTAATACACAAAGTGTAGTATGGCAGTATTATGAGAAAGTAATAAGAATTTTACTTTGGATTACAAAGTCTCTGACGTAGATATAGCTATACAGGATTTCGACTGCATAAACAGTAACTTCCTGTAGCCCAAAGTAATTCCACAATGGGCATGTTGACATAAAGTCATGGTAAAGTAAACATACAATTAATATTAGTAGGATTGGAAATAATCTAAGTATACCTTATGTACTGTAATTTTTCATTGAGGAATATATAATGATATTGTCTACTTTCAAGTGAATTTTTGTGTGATCAAAGCATAATTTTCCCAATTATGTCAAATTTACTATTGGATGCTTAATTTTTGGAAAGCCAATGTATTGCAGATTCAACTGTTATTTTTTAAAAGTTCAAACAAGAGAAGGATGCATATTGAAATGCTAAATAAGAATCATAGGTACTAAAGGAAATCTTAATAGCAGTACATTTTTCAGGCCTAGTCTTTCACTCTAGTAATATGCCCTGATTTGAAGCATATTTTTGCCTTATTAAATCATTGGTTATAATGCATAATTGGTAGTAGTTTGATATTTCACTCAATGTTTTTAGCATTCTGCGTCTAAGAGCAGCCAAAAAATTATTGTTGTTTTATACTGAAATCAGTGACATTGTAGATGACATTTATCTGCTAGAAGGATAAAATAAATTAAGCCATGAGTATTTTTTTCTATCTTGAGTTACTAAAAAAATATTAATTCATTAATTAAACGTTGATTCAGTATTTTTCATTTAGTATAAACTTTTAATTCTGTTTTGAGTAAGTAATGGAATGTACTAAAAAACCATGGTAATACTTGTATGAAACTTGTTATATTTATTAGTAGATATTCTTTATGGAGATAGAGAAAGTGAAAAATCAAGCCATACTTTTAATAGGTTAGGTTATTCAATTATGGCAAAGCCTCGAGGGCTATCTGCCTAAGGGGAGGGATGCCTTCTTGGAGGACTTCCTAAGGGAAACTGGCTCGCATACACGTTACACATGGGGAAAACCACGAAAGCACCCATGCAGCCAGCCCGTTCGTGTGATTCAAACCTCGGACCGAACTACCAGTATTCAGTGACTTTACCACTCGGCCGCTGGTGGACCTCATACTATAAATATCTAATTTTATTATTGTATGTAATACAATAGTAAAATTAGATATTTTGTATTACATACAATAGTAATGAAATGGCATTAAAAATTTTTATTAAATTATTTTTTTAAAGACTGGCAATTTATTTCTTTTTCTGCTTAAAGGTGATTTGAACTTATGTTATTTAATATTCACAGCTTCAAAGTGAAAACAGCAGGGAGAAGATATTTTTCGTAATGTAAGATAGATTAAAAGTAATTATTCTTACTGATAATTGCAAATAATTTTATTAATTTTTAGTCAACCTGGCTGAACCATGCTTTAGTAGTGAATATGAAATCGAGGAATTTGTGTATAGTGTTAAAATTCATTATAGGTCCATTATGTTTAGAAGTAACTTTGATCGAGTTGAATCAAAACTTTAACAATATGTTAGTCAGAACACGTGAAGTATATACCTCAATTAATGCAGAGTTTAAGGTTCTGTGCAGCAAATTTCCTCTTTCTTGTCAAGCTGCATGCAGATTCGATTAGTGCATAATGAGACTTTAAAGATAAACCAGATGTCATTTTGGAGCTTGGTTAAATACATTATTTTCATTTATTCATCATACTCAGTAAGAAGTGGACTCATAATATTGATGGATGTCCTACTGAATTATGCCATTAACTTTATAAGGCTTCATTTTATGGAATTGGAACCCTGATGTGATGTCCAATATTTATTTTACTGTTGCAAAAATTCAGAAACATTTATTTAATGCAGACAGAGTTGTTTACAAAAGTTATTTCATATTTTCACTTGCAAATGCCCATTCATTCTCTCTGAAATGGATACCCATAATGAATGAATTTAATTGTTAAATGATAATAATTGTGTAGTTAGAGGCATTAAATTTTAATATGAAGTTATAGCTTGTGTTTGTCATTTGTCATACTGATTGGAAGACAATGATTTATGATCGTTTACTTTTTTTGGCAGAGGGATTTTGTTGTATACAGTCAAAAGTCGTTAATTCGGAATCGTCAGGACTTCGGCGATTCCGGATTATAGATCATCAGTTTAATTCTGGTAAGATAGCATGCAGAAATTAAAAAATTAAAAATATGAAACCATAATTTATGAAATAAAGAACAATTATGATCTAAAGGGTATCAAAATTTACAAAAAAAAAAGTGCTTAATATTTATTTGTTTACTTTATTAAACATTTCTTTCAATGTAAGTTGTTTAAGTTGCTTCATTTTTTATGTGATAATACATTCTCTTTAATTCTATAAACAGACATAATTTTTTGTTCAGTTACAGAGTTTCGCTGTTCAAGTCCTATAATTGCTGTATCGAGAATACCAACTAATTTGTCAATCGAAATTTTTTCGTTTTCAGTAACCTCTGTCACTTTCTTCGCTATCGGAAGCGAATTATAATGACGAGGAATTTGATTTAAATCATATCAAAGACGGAGTACATCGAGATGAAATACTACATTTAGTAAGGAATTATAAGCCAAATAAAATAAAAACATCTGCCCTGAAGGTACGGATAGTGCCGACAGATCAACTTCCAATTCATTGCGCGCCCGCCGCGGCGTTAAAGATAAACAAAGTTTAGATAAACAAATGTTAAAGTTTAGATAAACAAAGGATATGCCTTATCCATTTTTTGCAGCAATTCCATTTTTTGTTTAATGGACTTCGAAACATACTTTCGCTTTGTAGATCCTTTACATATTAGTAAATATATATCAGAAATTCTATTTGACATAATCGAAAGTTCAAGCTTACTTTTATAAAATTGCTCTAACAGTCTGAAAAAAATAATAAGCCGAATCCAATTCAAAGATTAAGGAACAACGCAATCTGCAACATTAACTGAATTAGATAATTTTAGCTTAGCTTATACCTTCCATTATACATTAAACGGGCATTCGTAAATGTATTTTGCGCATGCACACACGCATATTTGCAGCCATAAAGGTCTTACGCTTACGTAAACACCTATGGGCATGCGTCAATGCAATGCATGCGAAAGTTTGTTAATGGTCCGGATTATGGGTGTTCGAATTAATGACTTTTGACTGTATAACATATTTAGGTGTTCTCTTCTTCCACATGGAAGATGCTTATAACCTGGACTTTGGTTTCATATAAGATAAGATGCATTTGGAATAATTTATATACATATACACTGAAGTGACAAAAGTCATGGGATACCTCCTAATATTTTGTCGGTCCTCCTTTTGCCCAGCGAAGTGCAGCAACTCGACGTGGCATGGACTCAACAAGTCGTTGGAAGTCCCCTGCAGAAATATTGAGCCCTGCTGCCTCTATAGATGCCCATAATTGTGAAAGTGTTGACGGTGCAGGGTTTTGGGCTCGAACTGACCTCTCGATGATGTCCCATAAATGTTCGATGGGTTTCATGTCGGGCGATCTAGGTGGCCAGATCATTCGTTGGAATTGTCCAGAATGTTCTAACCAATCACGAACAATTGTGGCCCGGTGACATGGCGCATTGTCATCCATAAATCCCATCGTTGTTTGAGTACGTGAAGTCCATGAATGGCTGTAAGTGATCTCCAAGTAGCTGAAGGTATCCATTTCCAGTCAATGATCGGTTCAGTTGCACCAGAGGACTGAGTCCTTGCCATGTAAAAACAGCCCAGACCATTAGGGAACCACCACCATCTTGAACAGTGCCTTGTTGACAACTTGGGCCCATGGCTTCGTGGGGTCTGCGCCACACTCGAACCCTACCATCAGCTCTTACCAACTGAAATCGTGACTCATCTGACCAAGCCACGGTTTTCTATTCGTTTAGGGACCAACCGATATGCTCACGAGCCCACGAGAGTCGCTGCAGGCGATGTCGTGCTGTCAGTAAAGGCACTCGAGTCAGTCTTCTGCTGGCATAGCCCAAGGAAGACAAATTTTGCCGCACTGTAGTATCGTACACGTCCCTCGTATGTCCCACATTAATTTCTGTGGTTATTTGATGCAGTGTTGCTTGTCTGTGAACATTGACAACTCTACGCAGACGTCGCTGGTGTCAGTCATCAAGTGCAGGTGGTCGGCCACTGCGCTGTCCATGGTGGGATGTTATGCCTGAAATTAGATACTCTTGGCACACTCTTGAGACTGTGGATCTCGAAATGTTGAATTCCCTAACGATATCTGAAATGGAATGACCCATGCGTCTAGCTCCAACTACCATTCCGCGTTCAAAGTCTATTAATTCTCGTCGTGAGGCCATAATCACGTCAAAGCCTCTTCACATGAATAACTTGAACACAAATGAAAGCCCTGACAAAGCACTTCGCATTTATACATTTTCTACGCGATACTACTGCCATCTGTATATTTGCATATTGCTATCCCATGACTTTTGTCACTTCAGTGATGAGCCAAAATATTATGACCACTTACTCAATAACATGTTGCATGACCTAGCAAAACAGCTCCAGCTTGCCTTCGTATGGATGCCACATGTACTTGACAGATGACGGCAGTCAGATTTTGTCAAATGTCTAAGCAGTGGTCTTGCAAAGTCAAGATATTCCAACATAGTGGTGTTTGAAGTCTGAGCTGCTGCTCCATGGCATCCCAAATGTGCTCTATTGGGTTTGGATCCCACAAGTTAGGTGGCCAGGACATTAATTGGAATTCATTCTTATGTTTGCCTTTATATACTGTACCCTTATTTTCACAAAAATGAATATATTGGTGATTTCGGGAGCTGAAAATTACGCGAATTTTATATGAACAGATCCGAAAGTTGAAAAATTTCAAAAGTACCTAAGTAAAGTTGAGAAAGTTGAAAAATTCCAAAAGTACATCTTTTGCATAAAACATTTTAAGAAACTTCCTTTTGTCCGAAAAGTTCTTCCCCCCCCCTTCCCATCTAAATGGCGAGTTCAAGCGCTTGCTCAAGAATGAGTTTATTGAGTGGTATTCTAATGAGTTTCAATTTCTAGAGGAAAAAGAATCTGTGGACTTGCAAATATCACGACTAAAACCGATTCATGCTTCTTGGCTTGTGTGCGTATTTAACGGTATTGAAGCCAATAATGAGATAATTTTGAATTGCTTCAAAGAAGCTAGTATAAATAGTATTTAAGTGAATGAGCTGCCTTCTATTAATTTTATTGTTTTATATTCGAGAAATATATATTATTCAAAAAATAGTTATAAGAAAGAAAGTTGTCAAGTAAAAGCTTGTAACTGCAATAAATCATTAAATTTTGGGTAAGGGAAAAAATTCTGATTTTTTTATTATTATTTGAGGTGGAAAAAAAAAAGTATTTCGTGAGGCTTAAATTTTTGCGATTACGATGGGCTCGTGAAAATTAAAGCCTCGCGAAAATAATTGCCTTTACAGTAATATATATATTGAAACAGCTTTTGGACTATCTCCTAAGAAAAGAAAGGAAATTAGGAAACTTAAAAAAAAAGTAAACTTTAATGCTAGTGTAAAAAATGTTTTATTAGCATTGTGTATAGCAAGTAAAAAAAATAATTTTATGAAACAGGTAAATAACAAAAATGATAAGAAAGAAATGAGCCAACTATTTCTATCAAATGGAAATTAATTGACTTTTCAAGGGGCACAAACCAATTTCCAATCAATATACAATAATTAATAGAAGCCAATGTGTTTCATCATCTTAATGTGCAAGAACCAATTATAAAATACCAAACCAAGAAGATATTGCACCAAAATTGATTCAAAGTACTAGTTAAGAACAAATCTTAAAGGGATATTTAAGTAATATATATAGATAGATAGATATTGGGTTTTGACAAAAGTTTCCCCAAACAGTTCAAGTTGGTGTGTTTCATCATATTTTGTCAAGCAATTTTTGGCATTTGAAAGAAAGAGACTTGTTTTAGAGTACTGTGTTTAGAAATTTGTAAAAAAATATCGTTATCATTAAGTACAAGGTGTCTGATATGGAACTATCACGCTACCAGATTAGAACCATCATTTACTTCCAGTTCTGTTGCAAAAAGTCAGCCACAGAATGTTACCAAATCATGTGTACCACTTTAGGTACTAATGTTAAAAAGGAATTAGATAGTAAATAAAGGAATAATAAATAAATAATAATTAATAAAGGAATTACACATTAGTTTATGTGATGCACATCGCACTGTGCATCGCATAAACTTAACATACAAGTTCTGTCACAGGGTGTCCCATGAGCTGACTCGAGCAGATAAGAACTCATGTGTTTGGGCCTTCATTAATCTGCTCTAACATTGCAACTACAAAATTCTGGACTGGATCGTCGCATGTGATGAGAAGTGGATTTTCCTTAACAACAGAGGCTAGAAAAGGAGTTTGTTTGCACCCGGTGAGGCCATAGCCAGCGTCGCGAAGTGCAATTTGACTAAGAAAACGATCATGCTTTGTATGTGGTAAGATTGCCATCTATGAAGAGTATCTGGGAAGAGGTAAAACCCTCAACAGTAGGGTGTACAGCGAGATGTTAGTCCATATTGTTTCTGCTATCAAGAAAAAATGTCAAACTGAGTTCCATCGCAAAAAGATAATGTCCCATCAAGATAATGCAAGACCACATGTGTCTGCATTTACCAACTTGACTCTGTACGGTCTCAGATGGGATCTTTTGCCACACCCTCCATATAGCGTGACATCGCTCCTTCGGACTGCTACCAGTATTCACATGTGCAGCTACATCTTGCTTGTACTGTCTTCCATTCTGCACAGGACACCCGAAATGAGGTTGATCTGTTTTTTAACTTGCGGCCACCAAATTTCTAAGCTGAAGGCTTTAAAAAACTATTAGCAGAAAATCAGAGTTTTGGGTGGTGATTATTACCTGCACTAATGGTACTGTGTTCATGTTTTTTTTTTTTTTTTTCCCTAACTTTATTAAGAAGGATTTTTGGTGAAAATTTTTATTACAACCATATATATATATTACTTAAATATCCTCTTAAGATTATATATATATGTATTATTTCTTGCAGCTTTTAGTTAACAAATACAGTATTTCAATTGCCATAGCTCTCAAAATCAGTAATTGATTCTTTGGTTAAATTCAGAAATGAAAATTTCTTCAGATATCAATATTTCATGCAATTTGCTGTGCATAATATTTCATTGGTAACCTTAAATCCATTATATAAATTCAAAGTAATATATTTTTTTTTTTAATTTGTTAATGCATTTTATCTTTAAAAAAAATTTGTAATTGACAAAAAAATTTATGTGAATGTGAGAAATTTCACTTGTTTGTTTTATATATGCTATATAATTCTTTATTAATCTGTGCATTATTATTTGAAGTTCGAGAATTAAGTGAGGAAGAAAAAAAGCAGATAATGCTGAGGGAAGATTTTCACCAGTTTTTTGACCGTGCCACTAGAATTATTGAAAGAGCTTTATATGAAGATGTAGATATCTTAGTTGATTATACTGGCACGGGAGAAGAGCAGGATGGGTAAGTCAGTATGCCAGTTAACTTGCATAATATATATTTTTTCTTTTTAGTAGTCTTTGTAACTAAAGGCTACTGTAATAAATAAGTGCTGTAATAACTTTCGTAAACATTTTTATACATATCATTGTTTCATTGTTTTATCAGGATCAAAATCTACACAAAAAAAAGCAAATTATTTGTAGGCTTTAAAATCTGAAAAAGAAAATAAATGGATTGTTTTTAATGGCATAAAATTAAATAATTTAGCATAAATTTTTTAACCAAAATTATCTTTAGTAATGAATTAGGATTATTGTGAAATATTTACTTTTGTTACATTTCAGTATTAATCTCAGGATCCATTAAAAGAATGTTATATAATAAGGATACATTTTTTAGTATTTAAGTCTAATTATAAATATATCTGTTTGAAAATCGATATGTGTTTGTGGGCTATTTAACTTTTATTGTTGGATTAATAGCCTTATCCAATATTTAGTGCTTTATTTTTGTCAAATATAAATGTAAATGTAATTCGTCTAAATATATAAAGGAATTTTCTGTGCTGTCAACTTTCTTCATAGAAGTTTCCAAGATCTCAACCTAAATAAAGTATTTAAACAAGCTAAACAGAAATCTCTGATTGAGTCTAAAATAATTGTCTGCTTGAAGTACGACAAAAGACTGAGTAGTTATATTACCAACCCTCATGAAGAAGATTTTCTGGTACTTGATACTGCAGTGAAGAGAGATTTCTCTCATATGTGGATAAACAAGCATATTATTACAGGAAATCTAGATATTGCACAGGATCAAGAAATAAAGCAGATTATAAATAAAGGTACACAATTTAGACCAGTTAAATACATTCCTAAATTCAGTTAGTTTGAAAGGATTTCAGCAGATGTTGATAAGTTCATAAGAAAGGCAAGTTCTCTACTAAGTTCACCTACTCATCTTTCTTTTTATGGAATGGAAAAATAAAATATTCAATCAAAGCCTTCATCTCTCAAAAAAAAAAAAAAAAAAAAGGATTTAAAGGTATTAAAAATTGGAAAGGTTTACTTCAGAAATTTTTGTAGTTGAAAAAGCAATTTACCGTTACAAAATTGATAAAACAAGCAATAAGTTTAGTATTATATGAAAAAAAATTACAATTCTCTTATTAAAAAGGAATGCACAATTCAACTACATATTGTATTTCCAAAAATAACGAAAGGACAATAATCAACAAAATTTATGTTTCTCATAAAAAATCAAAAATTTCTCTTTTTACTACAAACAAACAATAGATTTGCCAATTTATATGCAATGCCAAAATTTCATAAAAATGCTGTCAAAATTAAATTTATGGCAAATAGTACAAGCAACTTCAAGAAGAATTTTGATAATATTTTAACATATCTGTTTAAATCAGTATGTAATTTAGTTTTTCATAAAGCTAATACAGTCAAAAGTCGTTAATTCGGACACTCATAATCCGGAATGATCTATAACTCGGACCTCAAAGCTACAAACTTTCTGCGCATGCGTCGAATTGATGCGTGCGCGTAAGACCTTTACGGCTGCGAATATGTGTGTGCGTGTGCACAAAATACGTTTACGAATGCACGTTTAATGTATAACAAAAGGTATAAGCTAAGCTAAAATTATCTAATTCAGTTAATGTTGCAGATTGCGTTGTTCCTTAATCTTTGAATTGGATTCAGCTTATTATTTTTTGCAGACTGTTAGAGCAATTTTATAAAAGTAAGCTTGAACTTTCGATTATGTCAAATAGAATTTCTGATATCTATTTACTAATACGTAAAGGATCTACAAAGCAAAAGTATGTTTCGAAGTCCATTAAACAAAAAGTGGAATTGCTGCAAAAAATGGATAAGGCATATCCTTTGTTTATCTAAACTATAACGGTTGTTTATCTTTAATGCCACGGTGCACAATGAATTGGAAGTTGATCTGTCAGCACTATCCGTATCTTCAGGGCAGATGTTTTTATTTTATTTTTCTTATAATTCCTTACTAAATGTAGTATTTCATCTCGATGTACTCCATCTTTGATATGATTTAAATCAAATTCCTTGTCATTATAATTTGCTTCCGACAGCGAAAAAAGTAACAGACGTTATTGAAAATGAAAAAATTTCGATTGACAAATTAGTCGGTATTCTCGATACAGCAATTATGTAGGACTTGAACAGCGGAACTTTGTAACTGAACAAGGAATTATGTCTGTTTATAGAATTAAAGAGAATGTATTATCACATAAAATAACGAAGCAACTTAAACAACTTACATTGAAAGAAATGTTTAATAAAGTAAACAAATAAATATTAAGCAATTTTTTTTTTTTTTTTTTTTTTTTTTTTTTTTTTTTTTTTTTGTAAATTTTGATACTCTTTAGATCATAATTGTTCTTTATTTCATAAATTACGGTTTCATATTTTTAATTTTATTATTTCTGCATGCCATCTTACCAGATTTAAACTGATGATCTATAATCCGGAATCGCTGAATTTCCGACTAGTCCGGATTAACGACTTTTGACTGTACTGATGAAATGTACTGTTGGATTATTCGCAACAACTTATAGATAGCTGAGAAGATTAAAAATCTAAAAGTTTGCAGTATCAAACTTTTTCAAAGACTCTAAAAATCTCTATACATGTGTCCCACTTAAAGAAGTTTTTGAAAGTTTTCTTGAGCTACCATATTATTATTTTCCTGAAATGTTTACTAGTCTGGATTTTCAAAAATGGAAAGTCTCTAATTTTAGCTTCTCAGTAACTTACATAAAGCATGCAAATTTTTGATACCTACAAACAAATGATATTCCAATGGAAAGTTCTTAGTCAACTCACTTATGTAACCTCTATCTGTTTTCTAAAGAATATAAATTTCATAAATACCTTTCTGATAATGACTTCAATAAATTTTAACACACTTTTCAGATATATTGATGATGATATAACATTCAAAAATAATATTCATAAACCTTAAAAAACATTAAAAGAAAAACTGATGATTTTGGAATAAATTTTGTCAAAATTTTGCAACAAGGGGCTAAATTCTTTTGCTTTATTTGTTGGAATTTTTTCATACCGATGTGTTTTGTATATTTCTCTAATGGATTGCCTCTGCATCCACTGAGTAAGTTATGATTTCAATGTTCTCAGTTTATTTCTTAGTATATTTCGTATAAGTATATATTAATTTCAATTTTAAATTCGGCAAAATGTGTCTAATTAATTTCTTTTGCTTTATTTGACATTGAAATTTTACATAGGTCTTTGTATATTTCCGTAATGGACTGCTCCTACTTCAAGGAGGAGTTTAAAATTTTCAGGTTAATTGTTGTAATTAAATAATTTAAAATGGTTTACCATCTAATTTTAAATGAACAGAAATGCAGTGTTTTCCAAGGGAGGGGGGGGGCAATTGAGTCTGATCTGCCTTAACGATAACAGATTTTCTTGGTACGAAACCACTGATTGCTAAAATAAGCAACTTTTGTTTGTATTTTTTTTTTCCTAAATCTGATTGAAATTACTTTGCAATGGGGATTAAAAGATACCTAATTTGGTTCTTGAAATTCTGTGCAAATTTTGCGCATAAAAGAAACTTAACTTACGAAAGTATGATGGGCATTTTTTTATTTGATTTTTCTGTCTGAAGGGAGCATATAAGAAGTTAGATTTTGTTTTTACCCTGTTACTGCTAGTGCTGAAACTGTTTTCATAACATTCTCAATTTTATTTTGAGAAATTGTAATTTGAAGTACATGGCTAAGATCAGTATTTAAGAAAATAAAGCCAGTAGCATTTTTTAAAAATATTTTTTATAAAGCCTAAAACAATGATTTTTGAGTTGTTTTATATCAATGCTATCATATAGTAAAAGTGTAATAATAATGTGTGCTATCTGTTTAAACAAATGTAATATACATTCAGGGTAATTTAACTTTCCCATTTGGAACAAGTATATGCAGATCTTGCAGCTGTTTGTGATCATGATGCATGATTAGCTTGTGTTGGTTTGTGGGAGAGAAAGAAGAGATGATCATCTGTTAATGTCATGTCAATGGTTTGAAGTCCTCAGGTTTCTTATGTCTGCAACTTCTGTATTTACTTCAAAGTTGTCGATCAGATTTTGTCATCTGCTAAAGTGGCTAAAGCTGAAGGGCTTCAAATATGATAGCATGGCTTGACTGTTGCATCTATTTTCTGTTATGAAGTGTTTTAGAATTTCTTGTAAGAACTTCCGAAGCCCAGTGGCACAGTGGCTAGTGCGTTGCGCAGTAGCATCACAGGTCCCCGGGCTGGGCAAGGTTGACTCATTCTTTCATCTGTTGAGTGGGTCGATAAATTAAGTGCTAAGTTCTCCTGGGAACTAAACACCGGCGGTCCTGCAACAAACTGACCACTTGTTCAGGGCATATGCTCCCGCACCCCAGGGCCCATGATCAAGAAAGCAGATTTTCAGGCACTGCAGGCCTTGGCCCACTGGAGCTGTTGCACCACTGAGTTTACTTTGTAAGAACTTGAGAGCATGAGAGTGCTTTTATAGTTTAAATTATACTTTTTGGCCAATGCAAATGAAGGCTGAGATCTTTTTTTCACTATTTGCCATTTGTTCTAAAAGCTGGTTTTGAATTTCTTTTGGTTAGCAAAAGCAAGTACTTTAAAATCTTTCATAAACATTATATTCCATAAAATTAGCATTGGCAAAATTAGGGATATTTGTATAATTTTGAATTAAGTATTATTATTATTATTTAATATTAATGATAGCAGATAGTTTGGGAAAATGATCTTGTGCTTCAGGTGAGAATTAATACTGATGTGCATAAATTGCATTTAATAATTATGAAGATGTTGGCTATTATGATGAAATTTATGCATATTGTTGCCAAAGTTGAAATGATGTTAAAAACGAAGGACGTACCTAATACTGTAGTAAGTAGGTACTACAGTATGATATACTTACTATAGCTGTAAGTATAATTTAGCTATAATAATTTTTTATTTAACCCCTGTAACACTACCATGCCCTAAAAATATCTAAAATAAACTCATCATGTGTATTATAAAGGGAGCTATTCACCATGTAGCTGAATACAGCTTTAAAAATTTGTTCCTTCTAGATATTGGGCTGTGATTTTTGCATTTAAACAAACAGTATTCTTTCTGCCAAACAGTATCTTTCTATTACAATCTTAATAGAGTCTTCTTTTAAAGGAATATATAAGTAGCTAAAACTGAGAAAGCTGTATAATTTGGCCCAGTTTTGGTTTCTAACAGGCTGATTGCTGGACATGATTTTTCTTGCACATGATATAAAAGCAAGCCATTTATTGAGATTAAAATATCAACTCACTGCAGATATTTAGAAGCCGATTAAATATACTGTTTCTGAAAACTACTGATCTTATTTCATCTTCACATTGTCTGATATAGCTCTGAAATGTTTCTTTTGAACATGATTTGTGCAAAATGAAAAAAAGAAAAAAAAAAGTCTACGTTTTTCAAACTGATAATTTCTTTTCAGAGATGACAAGAGCGGCATAAAATTATCTTTAAATAGGACATTTTTTGATGACCATTGGTCGAAAAATAGGACTGTGACTAGTTTTGATTGGTCCTCACAGGTTAGTATAATCTTATTTAACAGTCATAGACTTTTTTTCCTTACAGAAAGGTAACAGTCACTAAGGAATAATATGGATAAATGTTTATTATTAGGGGGAAAAAGATATAGTTCGCAATTTTTTACATAATAAAGCTTGTACGTAATAAAGCATGAAGTTGATGTTATTTGTTATGACTTTATATACTAGTTTTAAGTGACTTTATATACTAGTTTTAAGTTTAATAAGTGTGTTAACTAAAAAAAAGATAGTTCTAATTATGCTGTGTAAAATTCTGAGGTTTTTTTTATATATGCAAATTACTATCTATTTATTGGTTTTTAAAAATTGTAAATCTCTAGTTCATGTCTAAAGTACAACCTATGTATTGAAATTAGTAAATATCTTTTACCACAGATAAGATTTGTTCATCTAATATATATTTTTTTCTTCACATTACACAGTTTCCTGAATTACTAGTTGCATCTTACAATAACAATGAAGATTCTCCTCATGAACCTGATGGTGTGTGTTTAGTATGGAATATGAAGTTTAAGAAAACAACACCTGAATATATCTTTCATTGTCAAGTGAGTGATAATTTTTTCAGTTGTGTCATGTTCCACACCTCTAGGTTTAGTAACATTTATCTTAGGGATCTCTCTCCATTTCACTGTAAAATTAAGTTTAAAAATATCCTATCAGGTGCTAGTGCTATTATCCTTTATTTTTTAGTATAAAGCTTTCTTAAATTATATAGATAGAATTTGGTGGAATTATATAATTTTAGAACCTTTGATATATCTGTCATGGGATGAGGATGTGAATTAAATATTTCATTATTATTTCATGAAGTTTGAAATATGTTTTATAAGCTGTTAATGTGCATCAATTTCTTTAATTTGGAGGCAAGTTAACTGGCAAGTTGGAGAATAATAAATATTTGTAGGTTTCATGAAATTAACTTTTAAGAACACTTAGTATATTTATTTATTTTTAACTTTTAATTTCTTCATATTCATGAAAGTGAAAATAATAGAAGTAAGTGGTTTAAATTTAGGTAAGAAATAGTATTAGAAATACTTACAAATTTTAAGAAATATGTCATACAGCAATAATTAAAGATGCTAAAAATTGGGGAACTCAAACCTATAATTAACTGGGTTGCCATGCTACCTGGAAAACCGGAAAAAGTCAGAGAATTCGAAAATTGACCAAAAAAGTCAGGGAATTAAAATATTTAAGTCAAAATCTGGAAAATTCAGGGAATGTCATACGGCAATCCCCAAAAAAGTAAATTTTGCGCCAGCGTTGGAAGCAATCACTTTGTTGGTGAATTATTTATCGGATGAGCATCATTCAGGCAACTGGCATAGCGCCAATTTTCGCAGCTCCAATCAGATTGTCTTTTAGAAAGGCAAAGCAGCCGGCATTTGGTCATATCGAGAATCCTAAGACTAGTGCTAGGCAAAAAATACTTCATTCTTAACAAACGTTAATAAATTATCTGAGGCGCCCCCCATTCGTCTTGCCATTAGAAAAAGGTTCAGATTAAGTATTAGGCTTCGAAACTAAGTACCGTTTCATTCTAGCGCCGTCGCAGCGCTGTGGTAGGCGTCCCGCGCATGCGCACTAGTCTTTCTTGTTCACTGACTTTCAATTGTCGCCATTTTGGTTGCTCTATGTTGTGTTTTCAGTTTGCTGTGCACATTCAAAATGTTTAAGACAATTAGTTCTCCCGCTGACTGTGAGATTCGTGCCGTGATTAAATTTTTGAACGCGAGGAATGTTAAACCGGCCGAAATTTATCGTCAAGTGACAGAAGTTTACGGTGAATACGCGATAAGTGATGGAATGGTGAGAAAGTGGGTAAGAATGTTTAATGCAGGTCGAACAAATGTCCACGCCGAGGCTCGGAGTGGTCGGCCTTCTGTTGTCACCGATGATTTGGTAAGGAAAGTTGATGAAGCAATTCATGAGAACAGACGCTTCACAATGACAACTCTTTCAGAGGCATTTCCACAAATTTCACGTACTGTTTTGTTCGAAATTGTGTCTGACCGCTTGAATTATCGCAAACTGTGTTCCCGATGGGTTCCAAAAATGCTCACTGATGTTCACAAAACAAAGCGACTTGGTAGTGCCCTGACATTTCTCACGCGGTACAGTGATGAGGGAGAAAACTTTTTAAACCAAATTGTGACAGGTGATGAAACTTGGGTGTGTCATTTCACACCAGAATCGAAACAACAATCGATGGAGTGGAGACACACTCATTCTCCGAAAAAACAAAAGTTCAAAGTGACAATGTCATCACAAAAAATCATGTGCACTGTCTTCTGGGATAGGAAAGGCGTTTTGCTTACTGAATTTCTTCCCAGAGGTGAAACCATTAATGCGGCACGATATTGTGAGACTTTAACAAAACTAAGGCGTGCCATTCAAAACAAACGAAGAGGAATGCTCAGTAAAGGAATTGTGTTGCTCCATGACAATGCTCGGCCCCATACTGCTGGTGTCACTCAATCGTTAATTCGACAGTTTCATTGGGAGCAGTTCGATCACCCGCCGTACAGCCCGGACTTGGCGCCGTCCGACTATCACTTGTTCCTGCACATGAAGCGCGAGCTTGGTGGCAAGCGCTTTGGATCTGACGATGACACGAAAAATGCTGTGGAGTCGTGGTTATCGAAACTGGCGGGAAGTTTCTTTGACGATGGTATACAAAAACTGGTCACCCGCTATGACAAGTGTTTGATCATTGGCGGAAACTATGTTGAAAAATAGTTTAAGACATGTATTTTCATGTAAAAATAAAATTGGATTCGAAAAAATTGTTTTTACTTTTTTTTTTTTTTTTTTTTTTTTTTTTTAATGATTTCGAATAGCTGTATATTGCTAAGCCACAAAGAAAAACCACCAAGGATTTGCAATGAATTGACGGCGAATATCCCTGCGATGTGTACAGGAAATTGTGGAGCATGTGTTAAGAAGAAATGTTCCTTGACTTTCACGATAATTTATACTCGGATTTTCATACTCTTTTGGCTCAAAATAACTAATCTATTAATTAATTTACTTGCGCGAAAAAATATTTTCTTTTCCTTTAAAGTTTAAAGAAATTTAAAATGATATTCGTTTTATGTACTCTTGATAAACTTGACCTTTGTGAGCTTCGGTGAGAGATATTTTGCGCATACGCAGCTGTTTCCCTCTACATTGGGACAGAACCATTCCTGTTGCAGAGGTTTTTTTGTATCTTAACAATACATATTTTTTTATTCTAACCTCCATGTACGATACACACGAGATTTAGCGACATTATGATAAGCAGTAACAACAGTTACCTCTCTGTCTGTTAGTCTCTGTTTAAGAAGATGTTGGGCAGTAAACTGGTCATTTTGGTGTTGGCGGCAGTTTTCGAAATCGTACCAAGGCCATCGCGAAGACTAGGATTTTACCGCAAAATCTTTTAACCCTCTGGCTGCTCATCATGCGATTTCCGCAATCACGTGTTTTTCTTTTTTTATTGAGGAGCACATCCCTTTTTTTCCCCCGTTTAACCACTGAAATAAATTATATACAGTATTACAGTATTAGACGTTTAGTTTACGCTTTGGTCAATAGTTATAGTTAATTGTCCACTAAATTGCTTCGTTTGAAGGTACGTGATATTACCACTCAAACAACCGCTTTTTTCTTACAAAAATGGGTGCTAGAAAACATTCAGCAATTATCTTGATTATTAAATTATTAATTAGATTTATTGAATCTGGTGCAAAGGCTGTGAAGTTGGACTTTGCCTTGAACCCTGTTTTGAACTCTATCATATTAAACTGCATTTCTAAGATATTTTTTCCTCAGTGCTTTATATTTTCTTAAATTTTATATATTTTATGTTTTTTTATAATATTCAATAAATAGAAATTAACTGTAATTCAACTGAAATTTATTTTTAAAAAAATTGGGGGGGTGATAACATCTGAAATTGGTTTTTTTCTGGCAACTTAGTTTCTCATGAGAAAAATCTATGTAAAAAAATATTTTCTAGAAAGAAAAAATGCATTTTCAATTCTCTAATATATATAGATTTAAAATATGAAAAAAAATTTACACAATTTTTGAAGCGATTTTGGTCCACAAATTGAGCAGTTAGAGGGTTAAACTTTTTTCATTTAATAAATGCCTTATTTTTCATTTTGCAGTAAAATTAAAAAAATAGTAATCAGTCATCTAGGCTAACGTTTAATATGACTATATTCGCCAAAATATCATTGATTATTGTAATTCAATTTTTAAGTAATTAACTTCATTTTAATGTTATTTATATCATTTAATGTTCTTCTTTCCTCTAAATTTATTTATCATTAGTTAATAATACTTTCAGATTTCAGGCAAATTTCTCTGGCATAATTCTGAAACTAAATCTAGTAGTATGATGACATACTATCACGGAATTTAATGAAATTTAAATAACTCCTATTATAGCTATAATAGTATAATATATTTTATATATAATAAGTCGTATGCAATTGGCAAATTTTTGTGTTTTCAAGCGGTACCATAATTAATTTACCTCTCAGCCCAGCCAACACACACTATGCGGATAGACTGGAATTTTCTCAAAACACACCTGGAAAACCTAGAAAAGTCAGAGAATTTCATTCTCCTCTTTGAGTGGCAACCCTGAATTAAGATATTCACTTTTTAAAAAATATTTTCTTGAATGGTAGAAGGAAACTGTGAGCATGTACCCTGTACCCCAATTAAAAATCAATGTATAATGAATTATTCCTTCTGTATCATAAAATAAGCTGTCTATTTAATCTTATTATTTTTTGTAATGTCTTGAATTTTTTACTGTAAAAATAAGTATATGGAAAGAATTTGGGCACTTTTGCTTCCATGTAGTTGTAGTGTACCAGTTTTATTTTTTTATTATTATTATTATTATTATTAATTATTATTATTATTTCTCCCATTTTAGGAGAGCGGAATGATTGAGATTTTAATGAACTGAGAATTGAGGAAAATATTTGTTGTTCTCTAAATATTTACACCGAGTCTCAAATTGGTTCATGTATATCACTTGCGGAAATTTTTTTCAAAAGAGTCTTTTTTTTTTTTTTTTTTTAACTTACCGAATTTGCTTGTTACTTTTAAAATTACTTAATTATTTAACTGAAGTTATTGAATATTAACAAATCCCTAGATGTTCCTTGATTACTTTGTTATATATGCTTCTTTATATTTTTTTAATGCAAAATTAGCGACTTTAAAGTTTGATACACATGAATAAGTGTGTAGGATACTTTAACTAATGCTTGATAAATAAATATTCAAAGAGAATAATTTTTAAGTAATCTGATATTCTGGTTGGGAAGATTTATTATAACGAGTTTAAAATTTTTAGGAATTTTTCCTACTGTGCATCCCCACTAAGAAAAATTACATCTAAAATTTCCTGTGACATACCAAATAAGTATTTCATATGTAAGAATTATCTTGCTTCTACGCTTTCATTAGTATTTATAAAAATAATACTTTTTCTTCCCTTCTAGTCAGCTGTAATGTCTACATGCTTTGCCAAATTTCATCCTAATCTGGTATTAGGAGGTACTTACTCAGGACAAATTGTCCTTTGGGACAACCGTAGCAGTAAGAGGACACCTGTTCAAAGAAGTCCTCTTTCTTCTGCTGCACATACTGTAAGTATTGTTGTTATTTAGATTAAAATATTAGAAATCTACAAACCATGATAGCCAGAACAATACTCTTTCCAACTATATATGTCAAGTCAGTGCTCAACTGATCATGTTTCTTTAACTAAAATAGCTGCATTGCACGTAGATGTGTATGCTTTTTAAGTATTCTCAAATTATATAAATTAGGAAATTATAGTCATTCATTAAGTCCTGTAATCTTTGAGTAACTGTTAAAATGTTTAACTGTTGATTTGTTTCCAAAGGACTTTTTATAAAATTAAAGCTAAAGAATATTACAGATAATTTGCAGACTTTTACTTTAATACTTTATGTATTGTATGTCACAATTTAACTTGCATGTAAAAACATAGTTGTTTTGTACTTATATATTAATGTTTTAGTGTTGAAAATTTTTGTCCAAGAACAATAACATAGTTTCTGTTCCCCTTCTTCCTTTGCAAATTGCAAAATATATTAAAAAAAAATTTTTTTAATTGCAGGTTGGAAACTTATTAATCATAATAATCAAAAGAAGCTTCTTCATATGCATTAGAATAATTTTAGAGAATGTCATATTTTAGAGAATTCATTTAAATATAGGCTATTCTATTTGATTTTATATATTTTTGGATTTGATTAATAAAGAAATATACTTTTAACTGCCAGTGTAATATAAATATTTATTAACCTTTGTAGCATCCTGTATATTGTATTCAAGTGGTTGGTACTCAAAATGCTCATAATTTAGTTAGCATATCCACAGATGGGAAGTTTTGTACTTGGAGCCTTGATATGCTTTCGACACCTCAGGTAAATAATTACATAACTATACTGAACCATCTGTAACTTTTGTGAATTAAAATATTTGTGTATTTTTGTTCTGTGTGTTTTAATGTTATCATAATATATTTTAAATGGTGCATGAACAATATGGCTTCCGAAGATTATTAAGACTTGAATAAAAAGCTTAAAAAAATTGATAATTAGTTACTGAAAGAAAAATTTAAGAGATAATGTAAAAGTATCTGAAGCACAAACTAATTTTTAATGAAAAATAACTTGGTGTAAGTAACTGTGCATTATGCAGGATGTGTATTTCATGGAACTTGATGTGTTACTTGCATAAAAATTATAGAATGCTTTTTTTTTTTTTTTTTTTTTTTTTTTTTTTTAAGGACCAAATAATTTCTCTTAGAACAAATAATTTCTCTTAGAACAATAGCTATGCCAGAGTATGTGATTGAGTATTGATTTTCTTTCTTCTCTTCCTTCCCTTATTAAATTTATGTCAATGTTGAAATAAAGACAAAAATCCCTTTTGAACAGATCTTAGTCAACATTGTTACTTATTGGCCACCTTCAAATTTAATGTGTTATTCTTATCTTTTATAATGAAGTTCTTGTTTTCAAAGTATTGTGAATAAAAGTGTTAAAGTATATCCTTCTATTTTGATTCTCTGTTTATTTAAATAACTATTCTAAGGGATATATTTTTTATATTTAAAAATTTTTACTGCCATGTTGTCTTATAACAGTAAAAATTTTTATTTAGCTTTCAAAAAGGTATTTTCAAAACCTACTGATAATTTGAATGTTAATGTGATGTATAATGAGATCAAATGATCTGCATTCAAAAAAGTCTTAATTTATTGATAAAAAAATTATTAGTGTCATATATATTTCTCTCATGAGCAATTAGCTCAAATTCTTTTCAGTTGCAGCATGTGAATTTCTTGCTATTGGTATCATACTAAATATGCATGGCTAAACTGGCTAATTCTTTAGAAACTTTTACCTTTATTATGAAGATCTGCCTAAATACTTCTTTGTACAAAATATTTAATAAAAATTGATCAGAAAAATGTGTCACTTCCTGCTTACCTGTATTCAAATTTTTATCAGATCCATCTATTTGTCAAAAAAAATTCACTGTAAAAGGTAGCATCACAAGAACTAGTGAAGATAGCAAAGTAAATGTCTTGAGTTTGAATACAAAAGAGGCCTATTACTCTCCCCTTGATCAATTATACACTGGTCATCAAAATTAAAGATGATGAGAAAAAAATATGCTTACTAAGTTAATGTTGCAACTGGTGCCCACTGCTATAATTACCTATGTTAATTAAATGCAGTTGAACACAAAATTGTACTTCTGTGCATACATTAGCGGCAGAAATATGCAAATTCGGTGATTGACAGTGTGTTGCACAGTAGATGCATGTTTAAATTCTGGTCTGTAGTGTTGATTGAAGTGAATGTGGTTTATGAGAGTGATTAGCATTCAGTAGTTATGACTCAAAGGCAACATTAAAGTGAATGTCAAAAGTGGCAAATAATTGGTAGAATCAAGGGAGACCAAGTGCAGATGGAGGTCGCCCAAGATTTGAATATCCGTCAAAATGTTATATCAAGAATTCGGAGCCACTTTTTAAGCACCAAATCAGTTGATAGACAGCCTGGTCAAAGGCATCCAAGTTCAAAACTGCATTAGAAAACCATTTTCTGTCATTGTTGGTTCAAAGAAAACTGCAGTGACTACTAGAGATTTGGTTTTAGACCTTCAGGCTGCCACAGGAACTCGAATTACCCATTCTACTGCTGCATGAAGACTTAACAAGGTTGGACTATATGCAAGAAAACCAATGGTTTGTTTTCCCACTCACTCCAGCTTCCTGAGGTGCCGTATTAAACTAGTGCCAATTTCATGTTCAATGCAGCCAAGACATTATATCGTTTACTGACGAGTCCAGATATAGTATGAACTAGATGTGCTTTGATTCTAGATCTGCGTTGATCTGGGGAGAGGAAAGAACGTGCATCTTGGCTTCCCATGTCTGTGAAATATCATGTTTTACCATCCGTGGTTTAATGGTTTGGGGAGGAATCATGACAAATGGCCGCACTCAGCTGCATGTCTTTCAAGGAGGTTCTGTAACCACTCAGAGGTATCTAAATGAGGTATTGGAATCCCAAGTTAGATGGTTTGGGCTACTGTTGGCCCAGAGTTTTGCTGATGGATGACAGTGCTCAGCCTCATTGAGCATATGTGGTGTCATAATACTTTCAAACAGAACAAATCACTCAAATGGACTGGTCATCTTACTCACCAGGCTTGAACGTGATTGAGCATTTGCTTAATGCCTTAGGGTGCCAATTCCTTCCTGGACCCTCCAGAAGCTGAAATATGCACTTTTGGAAAAGTAGTATGCAGTTTCACAAGACTTGATCAACACCTTGAGAAAGTCTAGAATCAAGATGTGAGGTATGCATATATGTACGAGGTGACTGCATACCATATTAAAGACAAAAGGTTTCCACAAGCGGTGACCTAATTTTCCATAAATTTGGTTTTAATTTCTATATTTTGCAAATAATGAACTGCCAAACTTTGTAACTTATGCTAACTATGCTTTTGTATAAATTTCTATTAATAATTTTTCATTAAGTATCAGTTACATTTGATTTTTGTCATTATCCTTTAATTATTAATGGCCAGTCTATATAACTTTTCTTGCTGTTTATGGACTTATGTAAATTTATAACACAATTATGGATACATTTTCTCCAGTTGCCATTGAATAATTATAATTCCTATTAATGTGTGCTACTACAACCTGTGAAAATGTGTGACAGTTCTGCAGCACTGAAATGTTACAGAAGAATTGGATTTTTTCTTTTGTTCCTTTTCAAACTTCTTGCCATGTATTTTTTCCCTGTTTGTTCTGCATTATCTAATATATTTGAAATAGCCCATAATTCAATGTTTTATTTATGATGCAGCTTAATTCCCCACATTCTAAATTAATACAAGAGATTCTAGCTACCTTAAACAAAAAAAGGGAGAAAATCAACTTTTGGTGATAATTCTGGAAAATGATTTTGTACAAATTTTGAGATAAATATTTATTCCTTGTTATTAAAAGCTGTGGCCATAATGGCTGTTTTGAAGATTTGTAACATACCACTTCAGTTGTTATGGTGGTCAACGATACGTGACTAGCTGTGATGCCATAAACATTGGGAAGGAATTACCATATTTACTCAAAAATATGCCCCTCTAATGCATGAAAGGTTTCTTACATTTTAAAAAATAAAAAATGTAGGTAAACTATTTTATTTTGCAATGATTCTAAGAAAAAGAATTTTAGTTTATTATGTTTTGAGAATTTCTTTAACATAACAGTACCATTCATTAGCTGTAGCCCAAAGGCAAGGTAAGAAAAATTTAGTGATGTCTTGTTACCTATTTGTTTGAAGGCGTATCATTACAGTGGCTGCAGGCCTAAATTTAAGTAGTCTGCTAGAGGAAGTAAATATCACAATCAGTGACACTTTTTAATAATTACCTATGTTGTTCATTTAGTATTTAAACAGTATAATTATCTAATGATAGTTAAATGTCTTCCTCTTATTTTGCAGTTAAATTTTTTTTAAACAAAAAACTTACACAAAAAAAGAAGTTTTTATTTTTGAGTAAGTATAGTAATCTCTTGTTTTAAGACTTTCTTATGGGGGGTCTCCATTTTCCTTTAAGTGTCGTATCAATCATCTACTCTTTGTGATGCATCCTGGACAGCATTCTGAGTGACTAGATGGTGAAATGACATGAACCTAAGCCAATGGTGAAATGACGTGAACCTAAGCCACAATATGGTAAAATTCACCATGAGATGGAAGAAAACAATCTTGAAAATAATGGAGAATTTTACTAAATCAGAAAATTCTAAATATCATTGAATGAGTATTAAAAATACTATTAAAATGTCATGTTTCAAGAGCTCCTGAATTGCATTTAAATAGCAGTATGTGAGTGTGAGTGGGTGGATGAATGACTGGCTGATTGACTGATCTGATCATATCCTCAGATCCTGATCTGATGTCGAACAGTGCGAGTATGTTAAAGAACTGTTGTTAAAAAGATTTATGTTAACCCTTGAGAAATTCTGCCAGTTATTCGCTTCACACTCAAAGACACCAGCCAGTGCCTGTCCTCACAAATTATTCATATACTTTGTGAAGCATGGATGTCAGGATTGAAAATAACAACATTCAAATAATAAAAGAGTTTAATTGTCAGTGATCAAATTAAGGACCAAGCTCCACCATATTTCAGAGAATATTACTTAGACAAATGGAGTAGTATTGTTTCACCATTAAAATTGGTTAAAATGTTTGATGATTTCAAAAATGTAAGAAAACCTTCTAAAACATCATCTAATATGGAATGTGATCAATCAAAGATATCACAATCTCCTTTTTTCAAATTTTTGAGAGAAGTTCAGTGGGAACAGAGAACAAATAATGGGTTTGTTGACCAGAATGTATCCGGAAACTGACACACTGAAAAGTTTAAGAGACAAAAAAGTTCATTGAAATGTTATGAGTGTAGAGACAGTGAACATTTCAAATCTTATTTTCTCAGAGTGACCAGGAAGAGAGGTGATCCTGTAATAAAGGTCAGCGAAAAGGCCTCAGATGCTCATATTATATGAGCATATAATGATGTTGTGAATAAAGGATTTCAAATCAAAAAAGTGACTTTTAACAGCATGACTGTTGTTGTACTGGTCAACACAAGCAGTTCAGTGTGTCTCCTGACTGAAGAAGCATACTTCAAAACAGCTGGCATGTCAAAGCTGTCAGAGAAACTGATACTTTTATTCAGAATTGGATCATCACAAGTTTGGACTATGGTATCATTTAAACATGAAGCTGAAATAGATGGATCGATGTTTGCTTCGACGTGGAATGTGGTACCCATACTCAGTTGAATTATCTGGCAGTGGTAAAACTGGGTATTCTTGACCAAACTTCACTATTTTAGTAAAAACGGTGTTAAGTGTTGTAAGTATGAGACTGCAGAAGAAGATTATGCTGAATTTAAAGATGTTATTGTGAATGATGTGAAAAATGGTTCAGAAAACTTCTGTGAGAGCAGAAGCATAATCTAATTTTCCTTGTAATGGGAAATATAATCAAAAAGCTTAAAATTTTGATTCTCCTAAGAGGCGTAATGAATATTACAAAAGAATTATAACTAGCATAATTCTTAAGATTATACATACAACAAAAGACAACCTTATGCATAGAATGCCGAGTGTAATTTCAGAGTAGAGCAATAGCTGCCAGTCTTACCATAAACTAAATTATCATCAACATTAAAAGATCAGTTAGTAAAAATTGTTTCTTCACATGAATCCCAGGAAAGATAGTTCTTCTATTTCTTAAAGTTATAGAGTATCTGAAAAGGAAAATACTGTTTAGTTTCCTGGAGTTTTGTCTTTAAATTTTGAAGAGAAAGTGAAGAAAAATTCTTGCTCTATAATGTATTTCCTCATGTTTCCCGCCCTCCTTTTTTTAATTAATTTTATCATCTGAAAATCAAGAGGGAAAATTATGCTAGTCATTTAATTTTTGAAGATCTCAACTATAGTAAGAACATAACAAATGAAAAGTAGTCATGGATAAACTTATTTGACCAGTGATAATTATAATGATAATTTGACCCCACTTATAATTATTACAATATTATTTCTTTAAAGGAAACTTACATTCCAATAAGAATGCATAGTAATATTAACATTACAGTATCTGATGTATATTGAGCCAGTATCTGACAGTTATTGAGCTGATGTTCGGCTCAATTGCCTTGTAAAACCCAGGGCATCTTATATGAATGAGTCTTGACCACAGTTCCCAAAAGAGAAATTGGAGGAGCTGAGGAGAAAGGGGTAAATAAAAAGACCCGGCTTTCAAATGGTTGAACATATCAGCAGCAGATAAGGCTACAGTGAGCTGTAACATAAATAACAGAAGTAAGGTGTTTGGAAAGTTTCTAAAATGTGAGAACTGCCATGTCTGTGTAGCTTAACAAAGAATCTGCACAAAATACAAGTATGTTTAAAGAATAAATGCGAGAAAAAATAAAATGGATGAAATGCCAATTCAAAAATGCAAATACCAATTGAATGTGCTGAATAAAAATAAAAATTATCAAGGGAATACAATTTAATAATAAACTAGCTCTGAGAATTATGTGCAATAGAACAAAGAGAAAATTATGCAAATATTTTTTCAAATTTTCTGAACCTAGCACTAAGGAGCTAGAAGAAAAATGCTCAAGAAAGTACGATGTATGTGGGAAATGTAAATTATGGTTCCATACCTTAAAAACTTGAGTAGCATTGTCATGTTTGTGGATTAATAAATCAAGTTACAGTGCAATGCGATAAACATACTTGGTTTTGCTTTTATAGAATTTCCAGATAAAGAATCAGTAAGTACTTCTTCAGCCTTTGATAAAACTTTATTTCAAGGAAGATTAATTAAGGTACTCCCTAAACATGCAAATGCCCCAGGCATTAATAAAATTAACAAGTTACTTAGATCAAAGTTGTGAAGAATTCCTAGATATCCTTCTTTGATTATCCATTTATGAGGAGACTATTGAAGAGACATATCTAGTTCTCTTCCTAAAGTATCCTTACGGTGACTCCTAGGATTGTCACTGTAAGATATAAATGTCGATTTGAGTGTATTATCTTTGAGTGGATGTTATTGAGAACAGCAGGTTCTGGTAATGGTTTTTCTTCTGTAAGAATATGTATTTATATTACAGTCATGTGTCTCTTGAGTAAAAATAAATGTTGTTATTAAGAAAGAGGACTCATCATGACAAAATACCCCTTACAGACCATACCACATATGTATGAATATATTACATATTGCTGTATGAATGCCATTCAGGAAAATTATATATGTATACTATATTTACTCACATATTTTCGCCCTTGCTTTTCCCCCTACTTTTTTCAGCATATGATTTATGGCTTCTGATTTATGGCAACAATGTATGCACAAATAGTATATAGTAAATATAAAGAATATCATTGAAATTGATAAGTTTTTTGAAACACATAATATTAGTGTGTCTTTCTGTATGCTTTTTAATGTGCTATGTTTATCATTTTATATCATCTCTTCAGAAATAGTATATAGTGCATATTTTACATAAAGTCATCACTCATAAAGCAGATAGTGTTGAAACCTAATCTGAAGTCAAAAAACAGCACAACAAGAATGCTACACAGTGAAACTGAAAAGCTGCATAGTAATAATATTATGATTTAATCAATTCTTATTCAACACTGTATGAGGACTAGAATTCTTTCCCATAGGTCTTTATATACTGTGACTAAAAGTGGGTAGTTGAGCAGAATATTGATTCTTGAGATGTTGAATGGTCACAATAGAGCTAAATACTGCAAGTTGCATTATACATGAAATTTTATAGGACATGCAGTAATTATGAATGTATTTGCATTTGCGTCATTTCAGTTACATACATCCCAACTTCTTAATATTTGAGGTACAGTTTGGAACAACTTATTAGTGAAGTTTATTTTCTAGCCTCATGTAATAAGCTTTATAATTAGATCTTATACAGAAATTAAAGATATCTACTTTAAAGTTGTAATATTCTTAGAATAATTTTATAAATGTTATTTTGTTTAACGATATGAACATCAAAGTTATATAATTTTTAGCTGTGTATTTTTTATGCTCTTTAGGCATAATAGTTGAAAGGTGTCTTTCATGTATCATATGGCTTCCATTCAACTGCCTTAAAACAATTTCTTAATAATGTTGATACCATTGATGATATGAAAGATATTTGAAGACATTTTTGCAGAATTATCTGCTTATGTAGTATGCTGATAAATAATCTAGTGTACTTCTTATGTTAATTTAACTTGATATTACTCTGTCTTAGGAGAAAGAACATTTTTTCCTTTTGAAATATAACACACATATTTATTGCTAGGATACTATGGAGTTATCACACCAAAAGCAGTCAAGACCTGTATCAGTAACAAGTCTCTCATTTCCATCAGGAGACTACAACAATTTTGTAGTTGGAAGTGAAGAAGGAACTATTTATACAGGTAATTTATTAATTTATAATATATTTGTGTATAAATTAATATTTATGCTTCTGTTTTGTTAAAACTGTTACATATTCCAGCATGCAGGCATGGTAGTAAAGCAGGAATCCATGACTTATTTGAAGGACATCAAGGTCCAGTGACTGGCATTAGTTCTCATAGTGCTCAAGGCCATATCGATTTTTCTCATTTGTTTTTATCTTCATCTATGGACTGGACAGTGAAATTATGGAGCTTGAAAGTAAGTTTTTAGGGCATCTAGTTATTGAAATGTATGAACTGAAATATATATTCATCATGGCATATGTTTTGCCACCATTAAGGATATTCATGAAAATATGAAAACTGCATTTCACAATAAGTATACAAAAAGCAAAGTCTGAGAGTGTCAGTCTTTGGATGTGAAGGTATTTCTCTGGCAATGAATAGTTTGGCTCTAAATGAGCATTTGATGCACAAAAGGTGATTGGTGTGTATTAAATGATCTTACTAATCCAAAGTACAGCAGTCCTTTGGATTAATATATGGTAATAGATGGTGAGTAATATGGTGAATTTTTGCTACATAAAGCTTCTCCTGTGGCTGTGTAATGTGTAGTGTTCTGAAATGCTGCCCATATTATTACATAAGATGTAAATATATATTCTGGAATTAAATTCAAATATTAATTAAACTATTATGCATATATTTAATACTATCTGTATCATCTTTAAAATTTACCTATTGTAAGATCATTTTGTAAAATTTAAGAATAAAAATTAACACTGTAGAAATTTAAGCCAATATGATAAATTATTTACACTAAGCTGAATTAATGATTGGGTTCTTTAAAATAATTTTGCTATAAATAATGAGATCTGGAAACATAATTCCTTTATTTATCTAGTACATAGCATCATTCTGACAGTGAAATTAGGTATATTGTCAGTCTCCTTAACACATAAATAATTGCCTTGGTGGAATTAGAAAGCAAATGTCCTAAAGAATATTGTTACATTTATCAACAAGGATTTTTATCTTTTCTCAAGAGTGCTGAATTCTCAAGAAGTTTGAGAGTTTTATTCTCAAGAATGCTGAGTACTTTCACATTGTGCCTGGGAGAAAATATGCTTATGACTGTGTATTACTGAGAAGAGTTACTTGAATAACTCCACAGATATATTTTAAAGAATTTAATGAACTCTCATTCTTAGGATAGAAACAATAAGCTTTATTCCCAAATAAGCCTTTCACTGTTTGTAGTGCTTTTATTCCTAAAAATGTATCATTAACTAGGCAACTCAGATTTCTTTAAACCGTGTTTGTAAAATATCTTCAATCTTCTCATAAGGAGATTTTTAAGCATTTTTTGCTTTTTAGCTTCACTACCAAACTTCAAAATTTTTTCTTCCATAATTTCTCTGTTATTAAAAGTATTTTGAAGAGTGAATGGTTCAATTCAAACTTTTGTGCAAGAAATTTAGTTCCTTATAAGGGTTAAACTTTAAACTTTGGCTTGTCTTCAGAAGTTAAATATCTTTTTTCATTTAGTAGCCATATTATTCACAATAATAAAACTCCTTAGTTAGAACAATTTTAGAAATCAGCGGTGATGAAACTAGTCCTGTGAAAAGGAAACTGGAGAAGTCTAGATAAGTAAACATATATAAGAGTTCAGGTTTTTCAGTTTAACCTTTTGAGGCCGGGGCTTTGGTAGCAGTAAAGGCTACCAAAGGACGGGTAATCTTGAACCGAATGCTTTCCCCCCTTTAAGAAATCACCTCCTATTTGCAACAAAGATTCTTGTGTATAGTTTAATGGATTCTCAGAGGGGTGCATCTATATCGCAAAAGGAAGACCTTTGAAAGAGATAAGTGGTTAAAACCCCAGGGACGTCAAGTTTGACATTTCACCCCACTTTTCAGCCTTGAAAATGGGGGAAAAAGACATGGCCACTAAAGTGGACAACCCCATCTTTTCAAAGAGAGGACTCTATGGCCACTATAATGGCCATCCCGTCTTCAGAAGGTTAATTGAAAGGAGTGTTTCTTATATAAATATATGGCTTATAGATGTAAAAGTGTGTATTAAAAAGTTTCTAGTCTAGTTCTGTAATGCACAGACATATAACAACATAGGGCTAATTTTGCAGCTCATAGTGACTTTCAAACATGATAAGGCAGTATGCCTAGAGACATTGCTGTGTTAGCTCAGGAGCATCAGTGTGATTTTTGTGGTCACATATATATGGCTATTTGGAATTTTATAATGGACAGGAAGGTGATACAATGAACCATTACAAAATTTTGCATTAAACTGGGCAAATTGGCCACAGAGATATTTAACATGTGTCAGCAAATTTAAAAAGGTGATGAGACAATGAATCATATGCAGTGTTTTAAGGGGCAGAGATACTTTAGAGGTGGAAGAACATCTGCTGAACATAACTAGACCTTGAAGTTATGTAGAAGACCTTGTGCATCCATCATCCCCAAATGTGTGAATGAACTCAAGATGCAGGTCATTGAATGACAATCAGTGACATTGCAAACATTGTTGACATGTATCATATGGATCATTTCAGACAATCAAATCATTGATGTTTAACATGCAATGCATCAGTGCCTGGTTTTATCTCCTAATCCCTGAGCAGAAAAATTATCTTATTGCAATACTGTAATTCTGAAACCAGTCCATTATTATGCAAAGTGAACCCTTTTGAAGGAGAGGGTGTTCAAATTTAGGTAGGTAATATACAGCATGTTTCAAAAAGAATATACGTATTCCGAATGCATAAACTGTATGACATATGAATATGAAACTTTACACACATATGTACGAACCTCTGAAGTTCAGATTACAGATGTTACAGATGTTCAATATGTTCTCCATCAGCGACACGAACAATACCACATCGATACTCAAATTTCTCCCATACTCGGGCAAGCACGTCCATCTTGACTGATGTTATGGCAGTTCTTCACCTCTTCCTGGTTCTGTGGGAGTGGTGGTACATAAACGTTGTCCTTAATGAAACCCCACAGGCAGAAGCCACAGGATGTCAAATCCAGTGACTGTGGAGGCCAGCTTAAGTCGCCATCTCCTTAAGACCAAACCAACGGTTCAGTAGAGTTTCATTCAGATAATCACGCACTTGGCGACACCAGTGAAGGGGTGCCCCGTCTTGTTGAGATATGAAGTTGTCTTTGTGCAGCCTTGGAAACAACCAGTTTTGTACCATTAACTGTGTTTCCATCAAAGAAGAATGGGCCGTAAACAGATGATCAGTATATCGCGCAAAACACATTGATTTTGGACGAATCTCCTACATGTTCAATGGCTGCATGTGGGTACTGTAGGCCCCAGATTTGAACATTGTGTTTGTTTACGTGACCACTAACTTGAAAAGTGGCTTCATCACAGAACACAGTGCATTGTGCGAAAGTGTTATCATTGTCAATAGCATAAATAAACTCGTTACAAAATGCCACATTTTTGTATTTGTCATCAGGACGCAGAGCCTGTAACAAATGTAACTTGTACGGCGTCATAACCAACCGACACCTCAAAACATGCCAAATTGTTGTTGTAGGCAGTTGTAACTTCCGATTGGCACGACGAGTTGATTTTGAAGGGCTTTGTTGGAAAGCAGTTTGAATATTTTCATCAGGAACCCGAGGGCACACAGAACTCTTTCCTTTACATACACATCCTGTATTTGAAAACTGTTGATACCACCTGCAAATGTTCCTCCCATTCGAGGATCACTTTGGTACCTCAGCTTGAAATGTATTTGCACTGTAATCATGGAATTATACTTCGCAAACTTGAGAACACAAAATGATTTTTGCTGCATAGTAGCCATTTTAAACATGTGACGGTTACCACGCAAAACAAAAGACAACTGACATGTAGAAGCTATTAATATAAACTAGAATATGTATTCATTTCACTAATAGCCGAGCCGAGGAGCAGTGATCGATAGTTTGGACAAAATAACACTTTATAATATGCATATTCTTTTTGAAACACAGTATACTTTTTTGTCATCAGAGCTAGTCTAGAACCTTTTTGATACACTCTTTTAACTTGCTTGTAGTCATAAGCATATAGATGCTAAATGGTCAAATCGTACCCAATTCATTCATTTTTCTAAAATTTAGGATACTTTAATGCTGACTGGAAAATAAATGAGGTAATAGGACTATAATTCTTAAACATGTTTGTATCATTTACAGGACAGCAAACCCCTTTATTCATTTGAAGATAATGGGGATTATGTTTGTGATGTAGCATGGTCTCCTACTCATCCTGCAGTGTTTGCCTGTGTGGATGGCATGGGAAGATTAGATATATGGAATTTGAATAATGACACAGAGGTAAATAATTATGTGTATTATTACAATGATTATGTGCCTGATATTATATTATCACAGCTTTTGTGTCATGCATCATTTATCTCATTAGTTATTCTTAACTCTTGTTCAATGTGTTAATAATGAGAACATTAATATGCATATATACACACACAAAATTTAAAAAAAAAAAAAAAAAAAAGTTCAAAACCTAATCTATCTGCTTGTTGATAGCATTATAGAAGCAACAGGTTGTGGTATTAAAAAGATATGTTTACATTTCATCCCATATTCAGTTTGGAATAAATTGTATGCAAAACCAAAAACAGAAGTATAGTGGCAAACTGCAAGACATTGGGGAGGAGGGGAACAAAATATGCCAAAACCAAAAATAAAAATGAAATTTGCATCTTTCGCTGCATTGTTATTAGAGGATTGGTGCAATGAAAGAAGTAAATAAATAAAACAGCCTGTTTCTGAACCCATAATATTTAAAATTTTAAAAAAAATCTTAGTAAGACAGTCAAAGTAATCTGTATCTTTTATCAGTCAACCCCTGCAATAAGTATTCGTGCCCAAGTGAGCAGTGCCAAAAATGCAAAATTATAGCATCAAAAACGTAAATTTAAAAAAAAATTGTGAAATAGACAAATTTAAAAAAAGTATTTTGAGTAGATTGAGTTCAAAAAGAAAACTTGCAAAAATAATAATCCGATTGTTGAAAACTGAACTGTGGGCAAATTTTTTAATCTAAAATTGGTAAAAACGAAATTATATGCAAATTTTGAAAATATGCATATATTTCAACTCAACCTGTGTTAATTATTTTTAACTCAGGTTGAGCTATTATTTTTAACTCAGGTTGAGTTAAAAATAATAGCATAAATCAGCAAATCTCAACCTTTTGACTAACATGTACCATCTAAACAAAAACTGAAAACCTTTAGTACAACCACTATAAAGTACTACTAGCACCACCACTCTTGAACAAAGCTCAGATCGCATAATGTGTGTTATGCAATTTGAGTGTTAGAGAGAAAACTCGGAGTGTTAGAGGAAAAAACTCTTAAGTGTTGGAGAAAAAACTCAATCTGTTGGGGTTTTAATTTTGAATTTAATTATTAAAAATACTTTCACACCACCTATTTTTTCCTTGCGTACAAACGGTTGAAAACCCCTGTTATAAATCATAAACAAGCAAAAAAGCTTTAAAAAGTTTTTTGGTATGAGTGGACTCCAAAAACATGTGAAGCAGAAGTAATATCCAACATACGCAAAAATAAAAGAAATAAATGAAAATTTGATGTAAAAAATAGAAGAGTAGTTCTTAAAATCTGTAATGCGAGAGCAACAGAAGCTTTGAAATGAAACACACACACACATATATATAAAAGTAGTAAAAGGATTTAATAACTTATATATATATACTATTTTGCAAAAGAACCGAAGTATAAATTTAGCTCATAGGCTATAGCTTGAAGAATTTACTTTTTAATTTTATATACATATATGCCTGTATAGTTGCAAAGCCTAAATTGTGTAAAGTTATTAATTTATATAAGTTTTGAATTTTTAAGTGATAAAACTCAATAAATATTTAGAAAAAACGTCTGCTGTAGCATAAAAAAATGTAAAAGTAAAAATGAAAAATTTCAAAAAGGTGAAAATGTTGAATTACCTGCATTATGAATCTCTCTTTGTGTATATATATAAATGTAATTTGCATAATTACAGGTACATAAATTTTAATATAATAAAATGTATTTGTTGGTTTAATATTACGTACATGTTCATGAATTTACTAATTACAAACCTCCCTTTGGGTGTAATTGTGATCATGTAAACATTGTTTTTTCCCTCTTATTCAGTATGTAATAGGTGTGATAGTCATAACTTTAACAGGTGATAGAACATGGCAAAGGTAACAATGTTCTTAATACTATGATGAAATGTGAGCCCGGAAGCACAATAAGTATGAAGTTCATGAAGAACAAACAGTTGTTATTTATGAAAATGAATGATCACCAACTGCAATATGCGCATAACAATGACAGTAAAGTGATTGTCATATACTTTGGAAGATGCCGAGCATGCAAAGTATTTTTCAGCAGCTGCACTAATTCTAGTGACCCGCCAGTATCTTTTTTCTAGTACAGCTTTGTGAGAAGTTCTTTCATCAGACTTCTTTATGGCTCTCCCAACTCCAGGGGCAATTTACTTTCCACTGCATGTTCAAAAGAGACTAGGCAGGCGTAATTAAAAATAAATTGCAATTATTAAAGTGAAAAAAGTATTGTCTAAAATGAATAAACTTATGAGGGAGGAAGTTATCATCAGTCACTGATTAATTGAAATTGTAGAATAAGTTATAGAACTGGACAATAGGTTGCATTGTTCAGGTTTGTTTTCCAGTAGCAAAATGATTTGACTGCATATGTGTTTTCTTGTTTTTCCCAGAGAATATAAGTTTTTTTCAAAAGTTCTCATTGATGACATGTCCCCCCAAGCATTCTGCTAATTAATTAATAGGATCAATTAATTAATACATATATTTATTATTTATTTTTTTATTCTAGAAAAATGTTTCTAAATAATCAGTTTAAGAAAATATTTAAAATTAATTATTTTTGCTGTAAGTTTACCATAAACAATAGGCATGGCCAATTTATGGCTGTTTTGGTTCCTTAAACGGGGCTCGTGAACCACAAGCAGTTTTTTTACCCCTTAAATGCAACTTGCTTGCGGTAAGCAGTATGTTATTTTTGAAATGTAGCTGTTTTGAAACAGAAATTCAGCAATGCCACATTTCTTTAATAATTTCATTTTTTAAATCGCATCGTACGTGTAAGAATTTAATTGGTTTTAAACCATTCAATGTGCACTAATCATCATAATAACAAACAGAATGGTGGGTAAATTTGTTTCTGCTAATTACTACCTATGTCATATTATGTTTTAAAGTTGATAAAGGCTTTTTGAGCAGCATAAAAGATAAGTTACAAAGATTAATTAAAAACTAATGCACTTTATTCATTCATTCATTCATTCATTCAGGTTCATTTTAGTTCAGACAGTTTCTCCTTGTAGTCATTCCTTTGGTTCTCAGAAGAATCTGAGATCTGGTGGACTCATGTGTAGTTGTTATAGCAGATGAAATAAAACTTCCAGTCGAATTTGGTCAACAAAGCAGTCTTAATTTTCTTACCTATGGATGTGCAAAATTAAATTGCCTATCACTGAGCAAATCAGTTAATCTTTTTATGCTTTGCTTCAAAATTTTTGCAATATTCACAGTAATATGTTGCACTGACACTTTGCCACATGGTACTCTATATTTTGAAATAATTTACTGACAGTCCTTAGCCAGTGATCATCATTTGCTTCACCTATAATTGTGCATGTCTGTAATTTTTGAAGAATGGACTTTTGTATCAGCTCAGTTGACTCAAAATCTCTAAGTAATGTTTTGTCAATATTTTTCTCCATCATCAAATTGTCATCTCAGCAACTTTGTATCAAACAATTAGAGCACAAACTTTTTTTTTTTCTTGAATATATGTCTGTTATTTATTATTTTTTTTTCCTTGGTATACTAATATTGATGAATTTGCTGTAGCTTGTGATATTACTGTACATGTTGTTCATAGAATGTCTTCCTTTCTAGCCCACCACATAAGGAACACTTCCTTTGTCTATTCATTTATTTAGGTTTTCCTGGACTTTGGTCAATTTTCAGCTGACAGCTCCTTCAGGAAAGGAGTCTCTCAATGGAAGTATATATTACAATCAAGTCACCAAAACTTCATGCAATGCTCTATAAAATTCTGTTGGGGTTTTCCACATAAACTAGATGGTTGAGAACAGCCTTCTCAACCTTTTGACTAATGCGTACCATCTAAGCAAAAACTGAAAACCTTTAGTACCACCACTACAAAGTACCACTACCACTACAACTCTCGAACAAAGCTCAGATCCCATAAATTTATGAGTGTTAGAAAAAAAAAACTCAATCAGTATGTTCGGGTTTTAATTTTTGAGTTTAATAGTTAAAAATACTTTGCTTCTTTGCGTAACCTATTTTTCTCTTGCGTACCACCGGTTGAGAACCTCTGATCTAGAATTTCTTTTAGAGAATGCATAGTGCATCTGTCAAAATGGATTGAAATATCTGTGGCAGTGGCATTAAATCTAGAACTCGTGCAGTCTAGTATGATATAGGTTTACACAGCAAGATATAAGTTATGGATACTCTATAAAAGTAAATAAAATGGAAAGGCAGGAAAAAGGTGTATACATTATGTGCAAACAATGTGTAACAATCAACAACTGCCAAACTAATTATGCTAGATATCCTTCTGTATACACATTTAATGGCTTCTTGGTATCGTCGGTTGATGTTAGCAAAGGATGATAGATTCAATCTCACTGCGTTTGAAGTGGATTCAAAAACTGTATTGATAATATCAACATCATACGCAGATGTGTGCAGTATTTTGGCATGAAATTGGGTGGGAATTCTCCTTTGCATGACTAATTTTTCCATTTATTCTGTCATTCACTTAATTCATAAGACTTGATTTTATTGTTCTAACAAGAGTTGCTTGACAAAGTGAATCCAAATCCTGAAAGATTCTTTAATCTTTCAAATCTCAGATCTGCTGATTTCTCCAACTAAGAAAAGAAGAGGAAAAACATTTACTTAATAGGGCTTTTACATAAAGGAAAATTCAAAGCCTGCATTTGATGAAAAATAACAATAGGTTTCTAAAAAAAAAAAAAAAAAAAAAAAAAAACCTTTGTTTATTAAAAAAGATTCAAATGAAATTTAGTAATTGAAATGTAGATTTAAAGTCTTAAATGCTGAAGTATGTTTTCTTAAAATAATTTGATAAGCAAGTTCAAAATATTGGTTCAAAATTTAGCAGCCATGGCTGGCTTGTTCGACTAAGAGATAGATTAATATGTTGTAGTGCTTATATAACATAACTTGAATTATTAGAAACATTCAAAAACTATTAGTAGTAGGTTATCTATATCCATAATTTAGATCAGTTAAGATATTGTTTTGAGAATTTTAGAGAAAGCAGAGTGCATTGATTCAGGCAGATTTTGCCAAATATTGTACTGAAAGAATTTAGCTTTCAGAGTCGACACGAGCTGACACTAATAATTTAATACAACTAAAATTGCATCAGTCACATTTTCTTTTTTATTGAGTGCTTCTATTGGACATCAGTAAAACTGATCTTTCTAAATATTTGAGCTAAACTATTGTGATTTCTTAATTTAGGAGTAAAAAAATTTGATTGGTGAAAAAAGGCTAAAATTCGAGATTTTGAATTTTAGATCTCTTTGAAAATTCGCAAGATCTGATAATTTGAGTATCCTATCCTTACAAAAAGCAAAACAGAACAGATGATCTGTTTCTTAACTAGTGAATCAATTCAAATAATTAAAGCTAAGTTTGATCTCAGTATGAAATCCTCTTGTTAATTTTAGGTTTTCCTAATTATGTGGGAATTAAATTGTTATTTTTTTATGCAAAAGCCTGTGAAAGTTGAGTTTGTTTCAAATTAATTTTCCTTTCTTGAATAACAGTTTCTTTGCAGTGCATGCTGCTTCCATGTTGGTTATTTTATTCTTTCCAGAGGAATAGGTGTGATATATTTTTTTTTAGCCCAAAGGGCATTAGCCCAGAAAGGCTATTAATTTCAAAACAGCATTTTACGTTGATTCTATTTTCAAACTGTTGCCACCAAATATTATTGCCATGTATTATATTTAAAGAAACTAAATGAAGAATCTGCATGAATGTTTCTTGCAGGAAAACTTCTACTCCTTAAACAGCTACTCTACAGATTTTTAAATTAATTAAATGAAAATTCAATTTTTTTGTCCTTTCAACGAGCTGGGGGGGGGGGATCCCCGGCAACGAATTTTAATAGGTACAGCTAAAAAAAAAAAAAAAAAATGGGACAGTCCTATATCTCCCGATCTACTGGGCCGATTGACAAAATTCAAATTGCGTTCTTCATGTCTCGAAAGCGCGACTTAGGATATATATTAGATTTATATATAGCACTATTCTAACATAGGTATTTTGACACAAAATCGGACTTTTTCTGAAATAACATACCAATTTTTTTACATATTTCGATTCTACGACTCAAATTACGCCTAAATATGAAATTTTGTAAAATTTGGAGCGAAATTTACGGAGAAATTCACAAATTTATGTTGGCACTTTTTTGTCAGTTTGCGCCAAGAATACTTCACTTGGCGAACTTCTTAATATATGGCAACCTAGTTTCCTTTCCCGTGAGAGGAAAAAAGTCACCATCGTTCCTTTTTTCCAAATAATATTCTTTATATTATATTTTTATAACTTATTATTTTAAGTAATTTTTTTTCTTTTTCGAATTTCATTTTAATTGTTTAAGTTGCACTTTTTTTTTTTTTTTTTTTTTTTTTTTTTCGAATAACTGTTTTAAAAATTTCTATTTACCTATTCGAACTGCGTAAATAAAGGTGCAGCGTTTATTTATTTTTTTTCAAATAGTTTTCTTTATATATATTTTTCGTCATAGTTATTATTTTAGGTAATTTTTAAATTTTTATACTTTTATTTTAATTGTTTGTGTTGCATTGTCTCTTCAGATAATTGTGTTTTAAAATTTTCTATTTATTCCTTCGAACTGAGCATTTTAAATATATTTATTAATATCAATTTTCCAGAATTTGATTTTATTTATTTGAACTGCGTTTCTTTCGGAAGAATACTTTGTAACCCAGACTACGATGCGTTTGAAAACTGCATACTATATTAAAAGAGAAAATACAGTAAAGCACAGTTTTTACACGCCTTTCAATGTTCCGTTCAGAAAATATATATAAATAGAGAGATGTATAACCGACATTTTAACTTAGGATGACTTGCATACACTGCTTTAAACAGTTTTATCATTGTGCCCATTGCTTTACACAATTTTATCCTACATTTGGTTTCTTAAAATGTTATTCATATTTTAGTCAAATATTTTATTTTTGAAATCGCAAGAATCAAATATCATAAGATTGAAAAGTTTTAAATTAAAAAAAATACAAATACTAAATTTTACGAAAAAATTTATTTTTCTTCTCTTTTTCTTTAAGCATTCTGAAAGTATATTAAAAAGTATCCAACTTTTCGAAACATTTTGGTATTTCTGACAATCATTTTAAATAAAGTTATCGCCTTCCATTTCATAAAGGCCCACAAACGGCCGAGCGGTAAAGTCGCTGAACACTGGTAGTTCACTCCGGGTTCGAATCCCGGTAAACGGGCTGGTTGCATGGGTGTTTCGTGGTTTTCCCATGTGTAACGTGTATAGCCAGTTTCCCTTAGAAAGTCCTCCACGAAGGCATCCCTCCCTTTAGGCAGATAGCCCTCGTGTGCTTTGCCATAATTAAATAATCCAATCCAATCCTTAATTAAATATAATTGATTTGTAACTTCTACTAGAACTGACGTTAAGAATTGAAGTGCAAATAAATAATATCGTGTGCAATCTTGATTAATATAAAATTAAAAATATTTGCACAGAAAAATATTTGCATTCAGACAGAAAGTTTTTTGAAATATTTGCAATTACTTTATAAGAAGGATTTATTAATAACCGTAATAATTACTTATTATATTACTGATGATTAGGAATCAGTTCTTGACAATTACATTCTAAATTAGAATTTTAAGAATTATTAGAATTTTAAATTAGAATAATGAAAATACGCTACGCACAAAAATACATTTTAGGATAAAAAATGAGTTGATTTTTTATGTTTTAAAACTTCTTGAATTCATTTAATAAACATCGTATCCTCGTTGTTAATTGAATTCAGAATGTTGGGTGTCGTTTATATAATTATTCTTACTTGTCCACGGAATCTGCTGACTTATCCAGCGATTAAGTAGCTGCAGATCATTTCTACATAACCATTGAACTTCCATTAATTCAGTCTCTAGAGGGTTGTATATTTATATCATAATTTGACTTTTATAAAAATGATTATTCTAAATCTTATGTTTCTATAAAAATATACTGTGCTTTAAAAATATGGATGATAGTACCAGCCGCTCTTTCAGCCACTTCAAAAGCATCAGTTTGTTTAGAAATAAATTGTGCAGTTAATGTCATAAAATTCAAATAAACATCAAACGAAAATTCTCAGTTTTAGACAATTCGATTTAAACGAAGTAAAGTAGCAGACGATAAAACGCCGAAGGTAAAATTTACTCTTACAAAAATGTACTCTTATTTAAAAAAAAAAAAAAAAAAAAAGATAGAGAGAAATTTAAAAAATATTTAAAAAAATAGCTTTTCATATAGTATTAATAAATATTTATTACGCATCATTGAGGGAAAAAATGTCATATAATTAATTCTCCGTAAAATTTTACTTGAAATTTAAGGTTAAAAATAGCTGTGGCAATACAGTGTAACAAAAATCCATAGACCACATTTGGCGTTATTATCGCTCAAAAAAAAGATGCCAAATTTCAAAACGCGAAAATATGTAAATTTGTGTATATCTTAGAAAATTTTGAATAAAAAAGTCTAATTTTTTGCAGATATGCTTAAAAATATACCTACTTTAAGATGATGGTAAAAATTTTATAGGTTATAATTCAAAATTTTTTTCGAAAAATTTATAAAAATTATTTAAAAATAGAAATTTAAAAAATAAAACACAAAAAATGGGTAAATTTTATTTGGAATGAACCTAAATTTCGAAATGTGAGAGAAAAAATCAAAAAAGTTTAATAAAAAAAGAGATATTAATAAATATTTGCCAAATTCAATTAACATTGAGGAGCTAAAATTTTGAGAGCTAATATTTCAAAAACTACTCGTACGATTTTTACAAAACTTGGTATTCTGGCATAATTTGAGTCGTAGAATCGAAATATGTAAAAAAATTGGTATGTTATTTCAGAAAAAGTCCGATTTTGTGTCAAAATACCTATGTTAGAATAGTGCTATATATAAATCTAATATATATCCTAAGTCGCGCTTTCGAGACATGAAGAACGCAATTTGAATTTTGTGAATCGCCCCAGTAGAACGGGAGATATAGCACTGTCCCCCCCCTTCTTTTTTTTTTTTTTTTTTTTGAGCAGTGTACAATAATTTGATGTGTGTTTTTCAGCTGCCTATAGTGAGTGCTATGGCTGATGGCAATCCAGCTTTAAACAGAGTAATATGGACTCCCTCTGGCCATCAAGTTGCTGTTGGTGATGATCTTGGAAAAGTCTATATATATGATGTTGGAGAGGTTAGTTTTAAGTTACTTAATATGATTTTTTAATCTTATTGGTTTTAATTTTCTTCATTGTTTCCTATAAAGCTATTTAAATTCCACATCAGCCTATCTACGTGAGGAAATATGTTTTCAGGTGGGATGGGAACATATTGCTGATGCTTGCCCCAAGAAGTTATTTATTATTACTAAACTACTGCTGTGTAAAAAAATAAGCACAAAATAAATAATTAGTGAAAACTTGGGAAATTATTATGTTTGTTGTGAGAATAGAGGTCTCGTAATGGATGTGAATCATACCACATTCTGTAACCTCTTTGATTAGCTTAGTAGTACAGAGTAGTTTTAAAGCAAAATCATCCTGTTTAGATGAACTGCTGTACTGCTGTCAGGCAGTAAGGTTATAAGAGAAAATTATTGCAAGTATTTTTTTAATTTTTTTCTTATTATTATATTTTTAAAAAATTTTATTTAAAGAAAAAGAAATCCTCATGCACCACAAAGTACCACACGAGACTTACAAATCGTAAGTAAAAAAGGCAAAATTGTAAGTAATAAAATCAATTTTCAATAATACAATAAAATCATACACAAAGGGAAAAAAACAAAAAAAAAAGTATAAAAATGTATAAAGAAATCATTTACAATGTTTAAAATAAGAGTTAACAAAATCGTTGAAAGCTCGGTAGGCCGAAGCTGAAGATACAAAATCATAACATTTCGATGGCCAATGAATTCCAATTAATTTTAATCTGCATTTCAGTAGATTTCTTGCTTTATCAAGCAATGGGCAGTCAAAAAGCAGGTGGAAAACACTTTGAACGCTACGTTTGCAATAACACAAATTGGAAGATGTCAGCTTAAACCGCTCAAGATAAACATTAAACTTTCCATGTCAAGACAAAAATTGCGTAACTTTAAAATTGAGCAACAAGTCCTTACTTTTCAGTCTTTCAAAAATAGTTGGGAAGAATGTTTTTGTAACAGATCTCTTATCAGAAGAGATATAATCACAGTTCCACTGCTCAATCATTTTAGCCTTGAATGTTTTTCTGAAATAAGATTTTGGAATATTTACATCAACATTAATATCATTTTTAGTTGCATTTCCACAGCAAACCAATCAGCTGTTTCATTTCCATAATTACCTACGGACCACGGGCAAATGTAAAAAAACATTGAAATACCTTTTTTCTCCAGATCTCCGAGAGACTGCTGTATATTAACAATAATATCACTACATAAAGAAGTATTTTAAGGGACTCCTGGGAAGAGAGTGAATCTGTACAGATTAAGTAGCTAGAACCACGTCCATCCTGCGTAATTATCGACTTAATTGCAAAATTAATACACAGAAGCTCAGAAATATATACAGTACATTCATTTCTAATGCGAAATTGGTGGCACTCAGTTACCATATCATCTTCAAAAATAACACAAGCAAAAACAACTTTATCACCAATCCTTCTATCATCCATATACAACACAAGTGAGAATGAATTTACATCAGTGTTCATACTATTCAAACTATTATTGCAAGTTAACTTAAAATTCATTTATGTTAAACAAGCTTATAAGGGAAATTTATTGCACCAGCAAGCAATGTTATTGCCTCATATAGATGGCCTTGTTATTCATAGAAATTTTTCATATGCTGTTGTTATCAGTTTCAAAAGGATGTATAAAAATTTATATGTTATGTGCAGTATCAGTATTTTCCAGGTAATATAATATTGTGAGGTTAGTTGAACTGTTGTCCACAACCAGTTATAATAGCTCTTTATCACTTAGTATAGAAAAATATAAGAGAAGAAATGTTTTTAAATATACATATTACTTCTATTGATACTGTGGCTAGTGGAAACTGTTTGTCATGCCAGAAGACTGGAATTTAAATTTCAGGTATGACATGGACTTTACTGTCTGTAATATGTTTAAGTAGAGAAGCTTTTTTAAATGCATTGTCGAGAAATTAATCACAGAAGAAAAACAATTATGAGTCCATTGTCTGAGGTGTTCGTAGTCAAAAGTGTGATTGAGGTAGGCAGATGATCCATCATGTGCTTAGCTATAATTACGTAATTCAGTACTTAAAATGATTGGTATCTTTTTCCTCTTATGTAAGGTTTATGGAGTATTTAATTTGTTATTTGGCAAACACTTGATGAGTGGCTTAATTAATTTTTGCTTTTTGGAAACAGAATATAGGAACTTTTCAAAAAACAAATTCCAAGAAGAATAAAAAAGTATTTGATATTATTGTGTTAATTAAGACTGACACAAAGGAACTTCGTGAAAGAGTATGCATTAAAACCGGTCAAGGACAACTCCTAGCCAGCAGCAGTAGCCATATTTTAACCACCCACCGCAGAACATCCCTTCCCATAGACATAACATTGCAAAAAAATGCTGAAATAGATACCATTTGTAAAAGCCAGGACACAAGAGAAAATGTCTGCACCTCTCCAGTATAGAAAACAGTAGAATGCACAGTCAAATCTGTCATGCCTGCTTTGGATTTGGAGTGATAGCCAAACCGTCAACTCCCCCCCCCCCACGGCTGTGCCCATGGAAGGCTAGCCCATGCAACTTTCCACCCTGAAAGACTTGAATCAACCAGATCAGCTATTGGGCACAGAGCCTGACTAAGGCAGGGGCATTCGGGCCAGTTGCACTGGGCCCCCACATCACAGTAGGGCCCCCCCAAATTGAATAGAAAGTTTATTGTTATAAAATTTTAAATATTTCCATAAAGTTTGCTTGTTCATTACTGAAGTAGTGCAGCAGAGGGAGCCCCCAAAAAATTTTTGCACTTGGCCCCAGTTAGGCTAAGTTGGGCCCTGAGCCCTTCGAGGAACATTTTTTACTCTACAGATGTTTAAATGCCATCCCTTTTGTAACCTAGTGGACAACTGCATATAATTTTTTGGTTAATTTTGCTTGGCTGTCAACAAATGCATCAGCTACTCCCAAAGGTACTCGAATGGGTTGAGAAGAGAACTTTGGCCATCCAGTACAGATCATATGTCCCAACTTCCTGCAGTCCCTCCATTTATGATCTTATCTTTATAAATGGATACATTATCAGAATTAGTTCTAAACAGTTGCAATAAAGTAGGTAGAATGAAACTATTCAATACTGCTCTATAGATGCTGGTAATCAAGCTTCTGAGTGTAAAACCTAGTAAAATCAATACCCCTTTCCTCCAAAAAAAAAACCCACATGTGAATTGTTTTCAGATCAGATTTAATAGTGGTGACAACAGACCTCCTCGACATATAACACGATTCCTCACTTCAGAAGATGTTTCACATTTCCTTTACACAATCAACAAGCAACATTTCATTCAGTGATCATTGGCTCATGTATTGCAGCTTGGCCGTAAAATCCATATGCAAATGCCACCACACATCAGGATTCTGATCTGTCAATTTTGAGGTTTCTAGGTTAGGGCTGGGGTTTTATTGTTTTTCTATGTTTTCATTTTAGTAATACAGCACTTACTGTTGTACATGGCATTAGAAATTTATCAATAACTTCACAACAGAATGACCAAATCAGTGGGTGCTTAAGATCATACCATGTTGAGCTTCACTTAGCTCACATTATGTTTTCATTTTTAGAGCAGTAATCAGTATAGACATCTACTCAGAGCTCATGACCTTTTTATTGGATGATGACGTACAGATGTTGTTATTTAGGTTCCACTGGATGCGCAGTCATTGATGACAATATAGTGTATTTTGACCATAATTCAGAAATGCATTGTGTTTGCAATGTTTCAGGACTAGATCATGGAAAATTGAAAACAGGAGGAGACAAAATTCTTATTTTTAGATTTCAGTATGCAGTCTTTGTAAGCATATCAAGTGCCTGGCATGACTTGATTCTTCCATAGAACTTTCCCTTTAGAATGCTCTTCATATTCAATTCCACGATTTTCTAAATGGTTCTTTTCAGGTCATGGTTTTCTAAACATTCTTAGGACTATTAAAATAATGGATTAAGGGGGAAAAAATATAATAACCTGCAGGTGCCAGTTCTGAGTTACAAAACTAGTTGAGAACTGTGACGTTTTGGAGGGGGGTTAGGAATTTCTTGAATATACTTCTGTGAATGAATTCTTAAATATGTTGTGCACCAGAAATCAGTTATTCAATTAAACTTTTCAAGCCTAGTGAGATAAATTATCATGTATAATCGATCCATTATGTCTATAAAACATGAAGTTCACATCTTTCCATCAGAATAAATTCTGCAATCAAGTTTTATTGTCACCTGCAAGTTGTTAGAAAAAATCGGAATTAATTTCCACCTTGTCTCAAAACTGTATTGCTGTTCTTTGCTTACCTTTTAAATTCATGACAGCAGATGTTCATTGGATCAAAGAAAACAATTAACTGCATAGAAAAGTCTGTTCATAAGTAGATATTATTAGAAAAGCAAGTTAACATGTAAAAGTAATAATTATTGTCATCATTTAGCAAGTTTTTTTTATTTTTTCAAATTAATCCTACAACTTGATAGACATGTAATATATATACTCCAGATTGTGAAACATGCCTAATAAAAGGAACTAGGATATTTAATATGAGGTTCTGTTTGTTTTCTCTGGGGAAGTATACATACTTAGAAATATAGAGTTAATTTTAGATAATCATATTGATTATTTCTGCTTTTCTCATATGGTTGTTGCTTTAAAGTATAATGAAATACAAAATTCCTTTTATCTTATAGTATATAAAATTATCTGGTATCATTAATATTAAATTTTTAATTGCAGTTGATCTCCTATGTCCTAAATTGAAGGGTTTGATGTTTAAACTTTTGAATATAAATATGCAATGAAAATTTTAAGTATATTATTGCTTATTCATTTGTAAAATATGATTTAATACATTTGTCCTTTTTTTCCTCCCTAGCAATTGTCTATTCCCAAGAGTGATGATTGGTCTAGGTTTGTTCATACTTTACAAGATTTAGAAAATAATAAAGCTGATCAAGAATTAGACTCTCTTAATAACTTTTCATCTAGTAACTCATTTGTACTTCCTATTCGCTGATGAAGATAAAAATCTATATTGAGTAAAAAGTTTATTCTAGCAGTTTTTCTTTGATGCACAGATTGGACTGCTGTATTATATTTTATTCAAAGTTAAATTAATAATTTATGATTCTGAAATATCTTATTAAATCAAATGTGCATGCCTTTCACCTAACACTGTGGATCTGTATGTCAAGTTAATATTTGAATGTGCTGTAATCTGACTTTGAAATAAATTTATTACTTGCAGTGCAAATATCTTGAACCAATTGTTAGTATTTAATTCATGTGTAATGGTTGTTATTTATCAGCACTGTTATTTACTTTTGTTGTATAAAGAACCAATTTGTTTTGTAGTTTGTACTTATTTTATTTTGAATACAATTTAAAACAGAGCTGAGATGCCATTCATTTTTTTTATCCCATTTTTGGATGAAATAATGTATTTAGTCATTGTTAGTGGATATGATTATTATATTTGAAGTTTTTATTAAATATGTGCAGAATGTTTTTTCAGTTCATAGTGATATTTTGTTATATAGCAATTATGATTTACTAAATTAGTTTTGCCTAAATTTATAATATCAGAATTGCGTTCTTTTTATGGTTGCTAGGAATCATAAAAATTTAAATTATTTTTAATTACTTAGAATACTTAAAATTATTTTTTATTGTGTTTTCAAAAGGAAATATAAAAATGTAAAAAAGTTTAGTTGTTATTTTTTTAAGGGTCAGTATAATGTTCTATTTGCTGTTTTAATTACAATCATCACATTAGCAATTAAGTTGTAATTTAAAGTTTGTTTTGTTTTGTTTTGTTTTAACAGTGCCATATATTTCTTTAGACATTACAATATTAATATGCATTGTAGTAATGTGTTTCATGTAACTTGTAAGTTTGTTTGGTAAATGAAGTGTATTTTCATTATTAAACTAATAACAAATATTTAAGTGCATAAAATTGTAGAAACTTCTTATTTATGTGGTTTCTTAAACATTTGTTTAGTTTCTGTTTTTGAGTTTTCTAAAAATGTTCGATTAATTTTAAATGTAGAGTTGGGGAATATTCATTCATTGATAACACAGGCCTGCATGATCGTTTCTTAACTGTTGCTAAAACACACAATACATTCAAAATGAGAAAGGGAAATAATAGAAGTTAAAAACTTAATTATACAGTACGTTCTAAATGAGAAAATAAAATAACAGTAATAAAAAAATTTACTAAATTATGTGATTCAAATCTTATTTATTGCAACAACTTAAACTATTATGTCACTTTATGACCTCTCTTTTCGACTTTCACCAGAGCATATCTGTGATTGTCGACATGAGTGAGGGTCCGAATATATACAAGAATGTAGTGAAATATTCGGTCTTTCACTGACGTATTTAGTGAATGTTGATATTCTCCGGTGAAAGTCGACATTCTCCAATTTCGGTCTTTCACAATAACATATACATTAAAAGAATATATTTTATTCAAATGAGAAGTACTGTGTATATTTGCAGAAAACCTTGAAATACAATTGTTAACATAAGGAAAAAAACATTGAAATACAATTGTTTACATAAGAAAAGAGCACCCTGGATAGTATACTGGTTTGCAGAAGTTGACTGCTAATCCAAGTGTATTCGCATATAAAGTTTGGCTGCTATTTTCTTTCCATTCCCTTTTTTGTAGGTGTTAAGATTTAAATTCAGCCTGAACTCAGCAGCAATGTTTTTCAGTTTTTGAGTGAAACCATAAACCCAACTGAAGTCACTAATAAGATAAGCTCTGGTACTTTTCTATAACTAATTCACAGAATTACCATAAATTTTATTGTTAATTTAATTAATATATTTTTTCTTGTTTATAATGATCTTATGCCAGAATTCAGTATTTCTGATGTTAGAAGACAAGCAATGGTAATATCAGCTGCTCCTGTAGTACACTCTGAGCAGCGCTCTCGCTGTCGAGATAGTAAAATGACCAGTGTGTCTGGCCATTTTCAGTGAATATTTAACAAGCCTGTGTCTGGCTGTTGTGAAAAATTTCCAAAGTCCAATCACTGCTTTTGATAGCAGAGCTGCATCGATTTTCTTTCTTTTATGTAATGTCACTGGTTTCTGATGTAACAACAACATTTTCAACATTTCAACAACCTTAGTTTTTTCTATGTATTTTCTTTACTAAAGTGCTTTCTGTACTTCTTTATGAATTAAAATAAGGTTTAAGAGTGAATTTAAAAAGTTAACTTTTTACATTGAGTAGTGTAAAGATCCAAATTTTTTAAGCATATCTCTTAAAGCATATAGTTATGACCAAAAATACAATTGCTTACTCCAAAAACTTAGCTATTGTTAATCCTTTGCAGCAATTAAAAATTATTTTTGAAGCTCTTAAGGAATGTTTTAATATCCATCTTGATTTTTGAAAGAGAGAACTTTTTATGAAAGTATTTTAAAATGTTTAGCACTTTTCTAAAAGGTCTGCATGAATTATATCTCATGAGACATACTTTCATGTAAAATAGAGGTAAAATTATTTTCTCTTTGCTCACAAAGCTTCTCAAGTCTTTTGCTGCAGTGAAGATATTTTCTTAGGTAGTCTTTTTACTTCAAGAGCTGGTTTTTAGCTCAACTGTCCCACTCATATGAAACATGAAAACTTTAGAATAACAATGCTGTTAACCATGAAGTGAACCATTTATTTCAAAGTACTTCCAAATTATTTCATGACTATTATATTTTATATGCTATGGAATTGGTTTCAAATTCTCATGCATATTTTTGAGATATATTAGAATGGTTAACAATTATATAAATTACATAGGCATAGTTTTTCTCACTTCCAAAAGAATTACTTTAAAATTCTTAAAGAAGAGTAAATTTAAAAAAAATCATTTTTGAATTGATAGTAGACCATAATTGTTAGTTTGTTTATTCAAACTTTTGGCCATTAAAATTTCTTTATAATTAATTCAAATTATGCATTATAACAATAAGCAAATATTAACATATTTAATATGAGATAAAAAGAATCAAGTTTTTGAAAAAAATTGTATATGATTCAATTTTTAGTACCATTTTTTAATTCATTATCTGAAGATACTTTTAAGAGCAGCTACAATTTAAAAAAAATAATTTCAGGTCAATGTAATTTAAAATTTGTATTTTTTGCTTATTTTCAGTTGCGTTCTGAATTTGTGGTTTGCATTTTTTTAGCAAATTAATTTTGATCTTGTGATTGTGCATCTCAGATTGTACAGTAATATATTGTAATAATCTTACGTGCAGTCATTGTTTATTAGTACAAACTCATGTAACTTAATTTTCTTTTCTACTGTTTGGCAACTGACAAGATGTATTGTATCTGAATTATATTTAGAACAATTATTGTGTTATTTTTATTGTGTTGAAAATAAATTCTTTGGAGCACTTGAACAAAACATTTTCCTTTGGGAATTTATTTTCTATTTATTTGAATTATAATCTAAGTACAGGAATTCCTCATTTAACATGATTTAAGTTACCACATTTTGAAATTTACTTAGTTTATTAATTACAGCCCTGTTATCTGCTTGTTAAGTATTTATGTATTTTAATATCAGAACGTAAGCTTTATGTTAATACAAACAATATTTTATAATTTTAATATATTTAATTTATGAATAGCAACAATATTTAATTTCAGTTTATTGGTGTTCTTAAAAGAATTTCTTTCAATTAATGTATTAGAATGCAAGATTTTTGCGACATGCCTGGAAGAATATATGCTGTCTTTATTTGAGAATCTTTAATGTATAACGTTTCTTTGTTATGCAAATTCTTTATTAAAGACGTTATGGAGCCTGGAGTTTAAAGGTAAATGGTTTAGTAAGTAGTAGTAGTAATTCAGTGAATTTTCATATTGCATGTTATATTTGGCATCTGCTTCTAGGACTGTTAACTAGCATTTATAAATCGAGGTTCAAATGCTGTATTCATCAGTAAGATACTTCAATATAGAATAGAATATTAAGATGACATAATGCGGAGTTAGTTTTCAGATATGACGCAGTTTCGAAAAAGTTACTACTATTTTTAGAATAGAGTGGGGGAAGTGCCCAAATTTAAAAAGAGGAATTAAGGGGCTATTACTAGTTTAAAGTATAATTCAAAGCTAAATATTTTTTTACTTATGTATTATATATACATAGCACACTCATTGGTCATAGTCATATAGTTCCATTTACAAAAGTGCTTTTAAATGACGAAAAATATACACCTGTGGCAGTGTCAAATTAAAAAAAAAAAAAAAAAAAAGTTTTTGTCAAATAGCCAATTTTACTTTTAATGGGGTCTGTCGGTTCCTATATGATATTTGGAAAAGTGTTATGCTCATTATAAAAAAATAAAATTATAAGAATTTGACAAGGATATTTAATTTCAAAATTGGCAAATTTTTATATTATTTTCAACTTGCCTGGAGGGATCGGTTAATTCAGTTAAAATAATTTGAGGAAATAAGTTTAAGCGAAGTGCAGCAAAAAATGTGTTTAAATTAATAGGCCATTCAAGGAAGTCATGTTGTGTCCACATGAGACTTTTTTAATGTATGTTGCCGCAATATTGTGTATTTAGTATATTCAACATGATGTGAAAACAGAATGTAAAATATTCTGACTGTAATATATAGTCAGAAGGTGGAAAGATGTAGTCTGCTTGTTAAGTATTTATTTATTTAAATATAATGCTTTAAGTACAAACACATTTTTATTAACATAATCTGCAAGTGCAACAATATTTAATTTCAGTTTATTGTTGTTCTAAATAGAATATTCCTTGAATTTGCATATTATAATGTGGGATGCATTATGTTGGCTTTAGTTTTCCTTATGCAAATTTTGATCGGAGGTCAATCGGCGGTAAGCTAACGTGGTTGCCGCCGATTTTCCGATGACGTCAAGATCGATGGTTTGGCCAAGTATTATATATATGTACGCCGGTATCGGCGAATGTCTTGTTATGAGTTAGCATTATGCTAGTTTTTTTTCCCTCAAATGGTTTTAAACATAAAGGCTACAGTGTTAACTTATTTTAATTTACGGATTAAAGCATGAATTTTATTTAGATTAGTGTTAGCTTTACGTAAGGGAAGCAAAATATGCTTTGCCTTTATCACCACCACCAACACATTATACTTCACTTGTCTGGCAGAAAATATGGTGTAAAAAAAACATCTTTATTTGAGAATCTTTGATGTACAATGTTTCTTTATTAAGGCCTGGGTTCGGTGAACTTTTGGATTGCATCTTGCAAACGTATTCTTGCTTAACATATAGCAAATTAAATTTACCACAGTTGGAACTCCTTAAATTGAAAAATATGTGAAAGAGAATCAAATTTTTAAATGTGTAAAAATCATATAATAATTTCATTTGTTTTAATCAATCATCAAATTGGAATGTTTAAATCTTCCATTGCAGAGACTGAATACATCTTGTTCTGAATGATTTTTTATTGAAAAATACTTTCTCTCAATTATCTCATTATATTTCAGAATAATTTTTGATGGTATCAAATTTGTGTGGAAAAATATAAGAATAAAGTAAGCATTTATTTTTTTCATAAAAACTAGTGTTTCTCAGTGTAATTTTTTTAAGATAAATTTTCATTTGTTTCATTGATCAGCCTTTCTTTCACTTTCATATGCACTCCTTTTGTTCTTTTCCATTTCATTCTCCTATTCTGAAACCATACTTTTACCTGAAAAAAAAAAAAAAAAAAAGATTTATTGTTTCAATATATTATTATTAGCTCTGTGTGGGGAGGGGAGGGTCTATAAAATAAACTGAGAAAAATCATCATATTAGAATAGAGTTATTCGAGATGCATATTTGCTGAGTTTTTCGTAATTTTTAAAAACTATCCCAGAATTCATTTTTTACAAATATTGCGATTTTTATAAAGGTTTTTTACACTCTAGCTGAGCTTGCAGTCCAATCTGCTGTTACACTCACTCCTGCTAGCACATTTCTTTTTGTCTTTTAATCTTTATTATTGTGCATCATTTTCTTCGCACTTACGCCATATACAATTCAACAGCAAAATAACAAAGATTTTAAAAGTGGCAATTATTTAGAATTCCATATGCAGTGTTAAGTGTTTGCATGCATTTATTTTATTTTTAGACCAAAGGACTCTTTTTATCCAAAGGCATTTTGCATACTCTCACTCTCTGCTTTGATTCACTGTTGCCATCAAATATTATCGCCATGTATTATATTTAAAGAAACTAAATAATGAAGAATCTGCATGAATGTTTCTTGCATTGTGAAAAAACAATGGTACCTAGAGCCATCACATTTTGAATAACATAGTGCTCCAACTGAACATGGGCACATGGAGGCTCGAATTTGTTTTATTATCTACTGTTTCAAATTCCGGAAAACTTTAACGAATTTTTTATTAACAAACTCGACGATCTCAAAGCAAGAGTGGCAACACTATGTGGAAACGGAAAAAAACGTTATCTCCAGCATGCGAGACTGTGCATGGGAAATTCTAAGGATATGCTGTTTTTAAATATTTTGATATTGCTGTTGAATTGAATTTTATATGGTTTAAGTGCGAAGAACATAATATTTAATAAATATAGGTAAAAAATAAAACGTTAAAAAAGCCCTTTTGAGCATAATATAAAATCTAAAAGCGGATTTCTTTCTTTCTTTCTTTTTTTTTTTTTTTTTTTTTTTTTTAAATCCCTCCGTGTATTTTCACTGTTGATCATATCAATGTTCAGTTTTCTCAGTAACATGGCTTGAAAACGTTTTTTCCTTTTATTATTAACGTTTTGTGTGTTAACTTTTGTTATAAATATTTTTATTAAATACCACGTTCTTTGCAAATAGGCCACCTCAAATTCAGTTTAACAGCAAAATCACAAAATGTCTAAAAACAACAAATCTTAAGAATTTTCAATTGTCAGTCTCGTGCTTTGGAGATAAAAATGTTTTATTTCGTGCCGTGTTGCCACAGCTCGCTTTGAAATTGTTGAGTTTACATAATCAAGAATTCGTTAAAGTTTAACAAAATACGAAAGAAATAAGGAAAAAATATATGATGTCATTCTCTGAAAATGCTGAATATTTTTATTTAGATAGATCATGAAATAAATGCATTTCTATTATTTAAATCAATCCGACTGAAAAGTAAGAAACGATTATTCTTAAGATCTGCATCTGTTGCTTTCAAATACCTTAGTTTTTTAATCCACAACAGGTAGATTCAGTTTGAAAGATAATTATTTTAGATTTTGCTTAATGAACTCGAATGAAAAATTAAACGAAGCAAAATCTCATTTCGAGACTAATAACCCCTTTTTAGCTAAAAAAAATTGCAAATTTTAATAAATTAGAATCTTTTTTTTTTACACATGGTGATTTTTAATCTTAATAACCACATCAATCAGCTTCACACTAATTATTGAAGCAAGAATAGAAACCTACAGTAATTAAAAGGAGAGGGAGGAACATTTTAATATGTAATAATCTTTTATAAAAATTTTATATGTAAAGAATTTTGCTTATGAAGTTTCCGAAATAAATTTATACTTTTAAAGTTACGGTTTCAGGTTCCCATAATTAAATGTATGCTTTAAGACTATAAATTTGTGTGAATATGTAGCTTAAATATTAACTGCGCGTGTAGAAAAAGAACGCTAGTTAGTCTTAAGAAGTGTAAGATGCACGATGTTTCTGTAAGATGATAAGACGTCATTAATGTTATCTATATCTTAAAAATATTTATGTTATTAAATATGTATTGTGAATAATAATGTAAGTAGTCACTCGGCCATGGTAAAGTCCCATATGTATATTATAAAAAAGATGCGTAATTATTTTTTGAAAATTTTAAGAAAGGTGTATTTGTTGAAGAAAGCATCACGATAGAAAAGCGAATTAAGTAATGTTCAAAGGAAAAGCAAGAAGACAGCATCATTGTGAGTAAATAATGCAACGAAACAGGAAAAGAAGCGAACAAAACTCCTAAAAACTGAATATCTGCCAAAAAATTATTTCAGTTTTAAAGAGCACGGGGTGGTGCAATAGAACACGAGTTATTGGGGAAAACATGCAATAAGTGAAAATATACGAGGGTTGGGGCAAACTATTTTTTTCTTGTAGATATGTGAACGGATCGTAAAACGTATATGTGTTGTGTGGAAGTTCTGCAGTCATAATGTGTATGCAGAACAACAGATGGCTCTGTAATCAGTTCAGTTGGTGAGTGTCGTGCGAGATGGAAGTAACTCGTGTTGAGCAACGCTCTTACATCAAACTAGCCGTTCTCCGAGGGAGAAATGCGATGGAATGTCACAGTGAATTAGTAGAAGCCCTTGGGAATAATGCCCTACCATATCGTACAGTAGCACGGTGGGTAGGAAAGTTTCAGCAAGGACGTGTGTCAACCAGTGATGAGCAACGTTCGGGACGACCGGTGAGTGTACGGACCGACTTGGCACGTGCCGTCATCGAGCATCTCATGGATGAAGACAGACGATGGTCGTTACTGGAGTTAGAGAGGGCAAGTGGCATCGAGAAACGCACCGTCCACAGGATATTGCGTAATGAGCTACAGCTACGCAAAATCGCTTCGCGGTGGGTACCGAATGCACTGACGGAAGTTCAAAGGTGGGTGCGCTATGCAATATGCTCCGACCACTTTGCACGTTGGCAACAGGACGGCGATCAATTCTTATCACGAATAATCGCCATCGATGAATTTTGGGCCAGGGCATACGAACCACAACTGAAACGTTAGTCCGCGGAGAGACGACATCCTGGATCACCAAAGCAGCTGAAGGTCCGTCAGAATCCTTCCCTAGTCAAATTGATGGTGATCGTTGCGTATGACTTCAGGTGTGTCATTGTTTGCCACTTTGTTCCTCATGCCAGAACAGTGCTACAAGGACTTCCTGGTACGACGTGGCGTTCGAGATAAACATCCGGATCTTGTGGACGGTGCAATAATTCTGCATGACAATGCAAGACCACGTAAAGCAGAGTATGTACGGCAGCTACTCCGACGTTGGGGATGGAAAGAATTGGAGCACCCACCGAACTCTCCTGACCTTTCGCCCTGTGACTTTGATCTCATTTCCAAGTTTAAGGAACCAATATGTGGTAGGCGGTTCGCAACACGAGAGGACATTGCTAATGCTGTGCGCCAACAGATGACCCGATTCACACATGGTGCGGCAAATGCTGAGGCTGATGGTATTCAGCGCCTCCCACATCATTGGCAGCGTGTGGTGACAGTAGCAGGGGACTACATTGAGGGTCTTTAGGCCCAGGTTTGTCATGTCAACTTTATGTGTATTGTGTTATCATTCTTTCACACGGTGAAGGCCATATTGCCCTGTATACTACCGTGATAAATTCGTGTGCTACGATATTTCAGTGCTATTCATTGTCCCCACATGTAGTCAAGACATTGTCCTTTCATCTGTATATGTCACATTTTCCAACCGGACTGGTATCTTCAAGAAAAGATAGTTGCCATGACTTTTGCCCCAACCTACGCAAATATGGAGAAAACAGGTGAATGAAAAGAAGCAACTTGATATTTAAAAGTATATAATTACGAAATATATAAGTGTTTACAATTTTTATTTTCAAAATAAAATGACTATTGACAATAAATTATGTATCAGCCTATGCTAAACTTCTCTAGAAAATACAGTTTTGAAGGCGATTGCTTTGAGGGATCTCAAACGAGCCCTGGCTGGTAGTTTTCTTATATTTAATCTGAATACAAGTCAGCTTCACAAAAATGCCTTACAAGATATCTTTCTCTTCAGGCAGATAGCTCTTTCGTGCTTTACCATAAATACTCTATGTAATTCAATCCGAATCTGGCCGTGCCACGGTGACAGAAATCATGATCCTTGCATTACGCATCACCATTCCGATCCATCACCTGGGGTTGTGGTTTTCGATGTCATTGGATTTTGCTTCCGCTCCCACCTGATAAGCATTCGCTGCATGCTCAACAGCCACCTGTAATTGCATTATCATATGTTGTGCTCTTTATTTAAAGAAATGTACTTCAAAAAGATTTGGAACATTTACACCAAAACTTCAACTATTTGCAGGTTAAGTTAATTGATTAATTAGGTAGATAGGTTATGGAGGACTGGAACGCCTGGTGTCTAACAGAGGTAAACAGGCATGTGTTCCACGCCCTCCTCTAACTGCAGCAAAAGCTCCCTGGATCCTCACGAGGCTGCACCAGGCGATTATTGAGGTTGTCAAAGGGAAGTATAGGCCTTACAAGGGCATTATAGGATTGTATTACAGATTGAAGAGGCAAGCTGTGGTGTTACAGATGGTAGGTAGTTAAACTAAAAGTACGATAGGACGTACACATAAATACACATACCCCCCCCAAGTCCTGCTATGCTGCCTCAACATGGCGGGGGGTGTCACTGGACGGAACGGGCGAAGTACGTCGAGAGCATAGCTCCTACTAGGGCCACCCTAGGCGTGAAGGCCGTTCCAACACGCCCAGCTAAAGCATAGCAGGTGAAGATCCTTCAGGGGATTACCGTCTCGGTGATCGGGTGTCACAATCCTGGAGCCCCAGTGATCTCTCCTCCTTTTTGACTCCTCTCCTCTTCACTGCTACTTTTCCCGTTTTCCTTCTCCCATGTGGTTTTCTCTGAGGTTCGGGCTCGTCATAAGAAACTGGAACAGCCTTGTCCC